TCTGTCATAAGCCACCAAGAAGAAGTCAAGGGAGAACAATCTTCTTCTTCTTCTTTCTTCCTTCTTCCTTCACCAAGCACGCACACTCTACTTGCACTTCTCTTCCTCTATCCCAAAGAAACCCGAAAAACTCTTCCTCTATCCCGAGGAAGCCTAAAGAAGAACTCAATCGTGACTTCTAAAACCTAAGGAGAGTCTTCCGAAGCCTTTATCACGAACAAGGAGCGAAGGGATGTTTCGCTTCACAACAGAGGAAGGCGAGAGCGGTTGGCACCTACGGTTCGCGAACGGGAGCGGGAGACGCGACTCTTCACGAAGCTGAGGGAGGCGCGACGATTGGGCGAAGCAAGGGCTTCGCTTCGCAAAACAAGGGGCAGGGGCGGGAGCGAGATAGCGGGATCGGGCTCCAGCACAACAAAAGATTTGAGCCATGCGTGCGAGAAGAGCTGTCAGGCGAAGGATTAAATAAGGTAAGTTTAGGATTTTAATGGTTAATTAAGAGAATGTTATATATATGTGTGTGTGTGTGTGTGTGTGTTTATTTAAATGTAAGACTTAAGTGCATTTAATATCAAAATTGAAGATATTAAAATTCCTGAATTTATAGGTGTAAAGTGGCGCGAACTTCTTGTACACGGAAAAAGGATGAATTGAGGTCAAGAAGGCTAACAAGAAGCTTTTGCGTACAAGTAAGGGAGGAGATCGATCTGAAAGCTTATAAGTTAAAAGATAAGGCTAATATTATTATTAGAATTAATAGTGTTGTAGCTACTACAATACCGTGGACGTGACACTATAGCAGCTATGGTACCGCAAACCTTTTTTCTATTTGTTCTCTTACCTTTTCTAATTCTTTCCTATTCTAACTACTAGTACTTATCATAAAAATGTTTTTTGTTGTCTTAAAAGTTAGGTTTTGGTGAGTGTTACTTCAAATTTTTATTTGGACAGCCGCCAGCAACGGTTTTCCACTTCAAGGGCTATATCCGAGATATTGGGTAGTACTCCGATTGTATCTCTCTCCCGAGTTATTGACTATCTTCCTCCTATCCCCCTCCCTCATCTTCCCACATCGCTCCCTACTGCCATACCTCACCACAGCCGCCCGCAACAGCATCCTGATTGTTATTTTCTGCAATCCCAGCTGCTCCCATCGCCTACTCCTCCTTCACCCTCGCTATCCAAACCCTCCATCTTCGTTGTCGCAGCAAGCAACGCCTTCCTTTTGATGTTTTCTTGTCGTCCAACTGCTCCAAATAGCAACCTGCTGCTCTTTGGATTGTCGCCTCGTGTTGTCCTGTTGTTCAAGCTTTCATAACCGCTGTCACCCCTCATGCACAGTCCGGAAACCCCTTCCCTACCTTGTCGTCACCTCTCCAAGCCCCCTAACTATCACCACCATCACCTGGAATCCTCCCTAACGCGAATTGTGTCGTGTGTGTTGTATTTTCCCTTTCAAGTATGTTGATTGTAACAGTTCATTTGCTTCCAATAAAAATATTTATTTTTCTTAATATAGTTTGGATTAACTCTGGTGTCAGTATTAGAGATTACCTAACCCTAATCATATATTAGGGTTTCCCAGTATGACCCTGCCCAAGTCACCTCCACCAAAATTTTTCTCTCATTCCCAAACCCTAGTCAAATTTTGACTAACCCTAATTTTCCCTGACTGATTTTCAAAATTAGCAACCCCAAAAAGATTTCCTACACCTTCAATGAGTCTCATGCACTCTATTTCACCTCCCTACCCTAAACCCTAGTCATGCCACCAAGAGGTTCGCCGACTTCAGCGGGGCTTGCGGATATTGAGGATGAAACCCGAGAGGAGATTAACCTCGACCGAGATCTGGAAAATCGAAGGGAAGCAAGAGACGAGGATATGAATCCCTTCCATAGGGAGGACTTTAGTGATGCAGAAGCCGACTACGTCACATTAAAACCCAATATAAGAGGAGGTCGAGAGAAGAGACAACATGTGAAAAACAGGAGAATCTGAGGATGAAACGGCAGATCTAGTGTTAATTCCTATTAGCTTACTATAGACAAAAGATTCAGAATCTAGCATTAGAAGTAGAGAGACAACTTCATCGGGCGACGACCATGTCTTACAGGTAGCTCTCAATCTCAGGTTCTTACACCCAAATTACACCAAGGAAAATATCCAAGCTACCACGTCAGACGAAAAGCTGAGTAAAAGTGGAGAACATGTGGAACCAATCCCCATCATTAAATCTGTCCCAACCATAAAGTATTACAAGTGTCGGGCATGTTGAATCAGACTGCAAAACTAAAGGGGTGATCTATTTCAAGGAGTCGGGCATTCTTGAAAAATTGAATAATGATACAGTGGACACTAAAGACGATGAAGGCACAAAGCATAAGGACAAGCTTCTAGTTGAAGAGATATATAGTGATCCAGAAGAAGATGCAAACTTCAGAGAGGGTTCTCAATTTCCAGCCAACGAGGAAGAGACACTATTGATTCTAGTTGATCCCAAGATAAAGATTCCAACTAAGGTAATGGTAGATGTTCTCGAAGGTAGTGGCTTTGATGTAATAGCCAATCAGACAGAGAACAACATTATAGTGCCTCGAGCTAGCATTTGCAGACATTAAGAAAAGCATCAGCAGAACTAGCCTTGAATTTTCATAGAGGTCATGAGTTTGGGGAGCCGATATCAAACACAAGACAACCCCGAATAAAAGAAATTCATATCATTCAGAACTCATCCCTAAGTTGCCCCTACTGAGTGAGGCCCCGCATGTTGGAGATGAGGCATATTTGTGCCACGTCGGGAAGATTATGTGGAGTTATTCAGGTGTTAAATTCAGTTCAGCATGGTAATCATCATCAGATGTCCAGGCGAAAGGAATAAAACCGATCCCGAAAATTTGTCTTAGGAGATTGATGAGGAAGAAAATTCTTCAATAGGATTCAGGTCTTATCAGTGAAGAAGAAGAAGGCTCTCCTGAGTGGTTGCTAGTAATAGTGGTGCAATCTACCACAGACACAGAGTTGACTTTTTCTCACATATTGGTTTATCAGCTACATTCCACCAAGTACGAGAAGTGGAAGAAGAATGTTTCAAACTTAATGGCTCAAGAATTACATTACGAAAACATACATAAATATGCATCTTCAGCTTATGATGTGTCAAGAGAGGATACATATTTATTCTATCAAGACATGTTGTGGAATGATAACACCTACATGATTGATTTTCCAGTGGATTGCAACATCTCTGCTATGATCAACATGGCAGACTTGACTCCATGCTACAAAGAACCAAATACTTCGACGAATGAAATCGAAGCTCCCCCAAACCTGGGAGATTGACGCAGGGGCTTGGGTCGTGGTACTGTAGCTGCTACAGTACCGCATACCCTTTTTCCTATTTGATCCCTAACCTTTTCTATTTTCTTCCTATTGCAATTCTTTCCAATTTTAACTACTAGTACTCATGGTACTATAGCAGCTATAGTACCGTGAACCATTTTTCCTATCCCTAACCTTTTCTTTCATATACTAACTATTACTACTTATTATAAATATGTTGCTTGTTGTCTTAGGATTAGGTTTTGGTGAGTTTTATTTCAGATTTCTGCCTGGACAGCCGCCAGCATTCGTTTTCCCCTTCGAGGGCTATATCTGAGAGATTGGATTGTGCTCCGGTTGTATCTCTCTCTTGAAGTGGTGATTATCATCCACCAATCCCCCTTCTGCATCTTCCCACATTGCTCCATGTCGTCATTCGTCATTGCAGCCGCCTGCAAAGACATCCCAATTGTTGTTCTCTGCAATTCCAGCTGCCCCATTGCCTTTTCCTCCCTCTTCCTCGCTACCCTCAATCCCCGGCTCTCCACCTTCATTGTCACAACACTCAACGCCTTCTCTTTGTTGTTTTCCTACTATCCAGCCACCCCAAACAGCAACCTACTACTGTTTGAACTTCCACCTCGTGTTGCCCTGTTGTTCTAGCTACCTATAACCACTGTCACCCCTCACCCACAGTCCGAAAACCCCTTCCCTACTTTGTCGCAACCGCTCTGAGCCCTTTAACAGTCATCACCATCACTAGGGATCCGCCATGACGCGAGTTGTGTGCGTGTGTGGTATACCATTTCAAGTGTATTGACTGTAATCGTGTATTTGCTTCCGGTAATAATATTTACTTTTCCAAATTTGGTTTGGATTAACTCCGGTATCATTATCTAATAATCTTTGCAAAAAAAAAACTTCTAGGGAAATATATTTCTGATTTGATGGCTCTACTTTTGAAAGCAATTAAATACACTTCTCATTTTAAGTAATAAAAAGAGAAAAAAAAAAGTACTAGAGAAGCTCTTGTTGAGTACAAGGTATTAGAAAATAGGATTAGGTACGTCAAGCATATAAAATGAAGAGTAGAAGATGCACAAATAAGGAAAATAAATAGAATGAAAATGAAAGGCAGCCATGGTAGAGTGGATCAAAGATAACCTAGCTAATATTTATAAATAAATACTTGTATAAACTAAGGTTAACAAGTAATGAAACATGCAATACTCATCAAACATAAGTAAAAAAGAGTGGTTTATACAAAAAATCCATACTGATAATGATGATAAGTTACCTAACTTTTGCAACAACAAAAATATATCAGGGTGACATCTAAAACGCTAGGCATTCAAAAACATTCATCTTTCCTTTATAATAAAGAAGTTGGCATTCAATTAAAAAAAAATAACAGATAGCATCAATATCAAACAATCTGAACCGATGATCAAAGACAAGAACGCGTACAATGATTTAAAATTACTCGAGCTATGGCAAGAAATCAGCCAAAGACAATAAAATCAGTATCATCGAACTAAATGTCTTAATTCGCCACCATATTACAGAACTATATTCCATATCTAGTATCAACGAACTCTAGATCAGAATAAGACTTTTTTATTAGTGGTAAGGGATGGGGAAAGCGTAATAGCGCCGGGAGCAAATAGGAGAAAGAACTAACTTCCGAAAGTGTCGTTGGCCATGCACAAGAAGATAAGACGATCGGCCCTGAGGACGTGGAATATATAGCGGTCCTGTGAAAAGCACGTCCTAGCATCGGAGTCCGGCGGCAACTTCTCCAAGATTCTCCGCGCAACCGCCCCGATGTTCCCAGTAACGGCGGCAAACTCCGCCAAAACCACCGTCCCCCTCGCCACCACCGCGTACAAGATCGCCATGGCCGACAATTCCTCCTGATTTCCCCGTCTCACGTTCGCCGATCTGAAGGTTTGGGAAAATTTTACAACGTGCGCTACAGGAAGTGCTAAACACTTGAGTAATCTATAAAGTAAAATCTAAAAGAATTACTAGTAAAAGAGTAATGTTATTGCAGTTCATGTGAATTTTTTATGAATGTTTCATTTAGTGAATTTAAATAAATTCAAAATTTTATATATTTTTTATTTGGTTTAAAGTAAATTAAAAATAATATAATAATTTATTTAGTAGGCGAGCAATAAGCGGCGGGCTGTGTTGTGGCCTGGTGGGCGGTAGTCGGTGGCCAGCACCAGGCGGTAGCGATAGGCGGTGGCGAGTGGCGTCCAGGAAGCTGTGGGATGCCAACGGCTGGCGAGCGTTCTGCGACCGGCGACGGGTGGTGGCGGTAGCGATGGGTGACAATTTATCATTAGCATTTTATAGTGTGAGACCAAATTCCAAATTCATTCAAAATGAACTATGGAGTGAATTTTAAATTCATTGACATTTTTCATTGTATTCATACCAAATATATAATTTCCTCAAATTGGAAGGACCAACGAGTATCTTTGAAGCACATCAGCATTCAAATGTGTATCTTCGAACGGGCTCACTAAGCTTAAGTTTTCAAGAGAGCACCTTTAACCGAGCTAACTCACATTTCCCGAGTTCTTCTTTCAAGTTTGCCTATACCAATTGAATCTTCTACCAAGCTTAACGCTATGTACTTGCTTGCATCACCGAGCTCAATGAAAAATTCCTTGAGGTAGAAGGAAGAGATCTACAATTTATTGATTTATATGTAAGTATTTATTGGTCGTCTAACGCCCACACTAATGGTCATGTCAACAGCAAGTCTACTCATACTTCATACTACACAACATGCAACGTAGCTTTTTACTTTATATGTTAGACCCATGCATGGGCCGTTCAAATCAATGATGTATGAATAGGGACAAATAGAAAGAAAGGGTCGATTTGGCTCTCTCTCTCTCTCTGCATCTCACTTTTTCGCAAGGTCTTTCCCAAATTTTATGGGTTCACGAATTACAAGAAAACATACGTCCCAAATAGATTCAAAATCTTAAAAAATGTGTTGAGCTTGAAACACATTTTCAAATCCAGCAATAAGATCTTTTACTAAAAAGAAGAACAAGACAAAATTATTGATTGCACTAGAATTCTTGATGCAATAAATAAATAAACTCAAAGAAAAAAAATAAGCAAAATGATAGAGGAAACAAGAAGTGTCTGAAAACCATTCCAAGAGCAATTCGAGAAGTCAAACGAGATTTTCGAGATCAATGGCGGGAATATAAGGACAACAAAGACATCAAGCACCAAGAGAAGAACTACGTCAAAATAGAGCAAGGAGAGCACTAGCTTTGACATTGGAAGAAGAAAATTATGATAAGGACGTGTCGTATGTACCTACAGAAGAGACACTAGAGTCTATAGATGACAAAGGAAGAGATTGTTGGAGAATGAATTTTCTAGAGAAATTGTTAAACATACCCTCCAAGAAGGCTTTAAAACCATTCCATGGATTTTTACGAAGGAAGGATTAATCTGCTGATCATATATCCTCTTTCGAGTCAACAGTGTATTTGCTATGAAAAAATGATGCCCTTAAGTGCCATCTATTCCTCAGAATGCTTAAGAAACCAACATTATGCAGGTTCAATAGCTTGTCGGTGAGATTCATTGTCTCCTTTAGTAAATTTAAGCAGATGTTCGTAATCAAATTCATCAATGCTCAAAAGCTGCAAAATAGCTATCAAGCTTTATTAAAGATCTGACGTGCTCCATTTGTAAGCTTATGGAGCTTTATCACTTAACTCTAGCGTGAGATACTCAACATCGTGGATCTCTTTAGCCTTTTGTTGCCCATCCAACACGCGTGTAGGGTCTACGCAAAGGTCCATTCCAATACGTAATTCGCTTGCGATTGCTAAAAACTTTGGCTGAACTTTTTGAGTAGGCTAACAAGCATATTTTAGCTAAAGGATATCACTCTTTGTTGAACCCCTATGGCGCGAGAAAACAAGAAGAAGGGTTCAAATAGATAGAGTCTTCTGAACATTTGGGACCTCGATTCTAATTCGTGCAAAAGGGTCATTTAGGTGCCCTAAGAAGTTGTTCTCGGCAGCAGTAGTGATATGCATCAACTTTTTATGCTTTTCATGCTTTAATTCCAGCAATTTTTCTTTTCAAATATATTATTTTACGCTTTTAGATGGTTGGAATTGTATTTTGTAAATTACAGGAAGTCTAGCACGAAAATCAGAGCTAAAGTGCAGGACTTTGGGAAAATCAGCATTGGCGTAACCACGTCTGAATCAGATGTGGCCACACCACTTGAGTAGCGTGATCATGCCAAAATTGGGTGTGGTCACACCCAATTTTCAGAGCAAAACGCTTGGCATGACCGTGCCTCCCAACCCGAGCGAACGATGTAATTACACCACAAGACGGGCGTGGTCATGTCGGGCCGTATTTTTTGTTTAGAAAAATTTTTAATACAAAATTCTGACTAATTTGAAAAATTTTTTGAATTCATTTTATAAAATCATTGCAGTAGTAAGAATTTGGATACTTTTTGGAGATGGTACTGCAAGGAGGTTAGGGTTGAGATGAAGTATTATTTTCTTCCTTCAGATTTTATGGTGTTTGTATTTTCTGAGAGAGTTGTGAGAGAAACTGAAGGCTATTCTTGTAAGAGAGGAGATAAAAGGGTTGTAAGTACGATCTATTGTAATAAAAATGTTTCTTGAAAGTTTTATTTCCATGAAATCTTCTTTATTTTTCTCTCGAGCCATGAGTAGCTAAAAAGTTTTTTGTACCTCTATGATTCTTGGATGGTTTTCTTGGTTAGATTTTTATTTTGGATTTCTCATATTATTTTTTTCGCTTTGAAATGTTAGGAGTTTTTTTTATTAATCTTATGGCCTTCGTTTACTTCTAGCCTAACAAGTTATGATGTTAAAATCCATCGTGATTTATGACTTCGACAGAAAAGTAGTGGAATGATTAGATTAACCACAAGATCCGAACAAAATAGGAATATTTTATTCTGAACTTTGCAACCAATTATAGAGGATCGAATTTTATTGGGGATCCATAAGATAAGTGGAAGCTATCTTTATGGAATTCCAAATCTTCTTGGGACTAAGGCACAAACTTAAAAAGAACTTCATATCCCTAGTTTAAAACCTCCATAAAAGAGAAATTTTTATGAGAATCAAGCCAAGTGCCACACCTAAATCATAGTGTGTGATCCTCATTACTATTAGGAAAATACCAACGAAATTGGATCCTCATTTTCTTCTATTTTGCTTTCTTTGAAATCTGCTAGATTTAAGATTTTCTTTCCTTGCTTTCTGATTTCTCCAAACTGGGTTGGAATATTTACTAAACTAGAGTTTTTTCCTTTTCAAAATGATTTCATAATAAAGTTTTCCAGTGGGATCAATATACAGTACTCTTTAATTGCATTTATACTTGACATATATAATTGTGTTGTGCGGCAGATATAGAAGAACTATAGTTGAACAACTAGATATCTAAGTTTGGTATTTTTTGTGTCTCTATTTCAGTGCCCGTGGGTTTTCTTTCATGTCCTGTGTTCTTCTTTGCATATGCTAAAAATTAAAAAATTAAAAAAAAATTAGATATAAAAAAACAAAAAAAATATTTTAGTGAATTTTTAATTTTCCTACATTTGTTTGAGTCTCTGTATATTGCTTGTGATTGTGTGTTGAATCGTCTCTTATGTTTGTGTTGTTTGGATTCAGTTGTTTTTCATTTTTAGTCTTTTTCTTTGAGTCCAGAATCACTAGTGTGTGAGTTTACATTCACTTGTCCACCAATGTATGTGTAGGAGTGCACACACTGATTAACACCATTTGACCCTGAAATTGAACAGACTTTTAGACGTCGTAGGAGAGCACTCGTTGAACCTGAAAAATTTATATAAATGACTCACCTTCTGGATAAACATGAGGCCTCTTAGAGACTTGGCCAACCCACTACTGAGGAGATTCACATTAGCATCTATTAACCTGCAGTAGAAGCAAATACCTTTGAACTGAGATCTTTCATGATTCAAATAGTTCAACATAACCAGTTTGGGGGGCCCACAGAAGACCCAAATCTACACTTGAAAAACTCCCTAAAATTTTTTGTCACATTTAGGTATAACAATGTCCCCAACAACGTTTTTAGACTAAGGCTTTTCCCCTTTTGCCTTAAGGATAAAGCCAAGGTGTGGATGAAATCCTTAGCCCCAGGATCTATTACCACTTGGAATGATTTGGCCCCCATCAATTCTTAGCTAAGTATTTCCCTCCTTCTAAAACTGTTAAACTTAGGAATGACGTCACATCATTTGCACAATTTGAGGGAGAGACCATTTTTGAGGCCTGAGAGTGATTTAAGGAGTTACTGAGGAAATTTCCTCACCATGCCTTACCCAATTGGCTAATCATCCAAACCTTCTATAATGGACTTGAAGGTTCTCTTAAGTCCATTATAGATGTTCTTGCTGATGTTTAAGCCTTATGAGGAAACCTATGAACCGATTGCGGAGATGACTACCAACAACTTTCAATGGCCTACAAAGAGGGTGCAACCCAAGAAGGTAACTAGTGTGCATGAAACAGATGTCCTAAATATCTTAGCTAACCAAGTTTTGGTCATATCAAGGAAATTAGATAATCTCGTTGCAAGTGCATTACTAGCCTCACCCCACATAGAAGTTCTAAATGCCACTAGAAATCATAACCAAGCCAACAACTCTTACTCCAATAACTACAATCTGGATGGAAACAACACCCTAACCCTACAATGGAACAACAATAATCAAGCCAATTTAAGAGGAGCACAAAACCAATTTTTTAAAGGACAAAAAACAGCCCAACCTCCTATATTTCACCCTAATCAAACCTAAAAGCTAGCCACATTAGAGGAGTTGGTGAGATAATAGCATCTGGTAACACAAAGGCATGGGGTATCAATTAGGAACACTGGGGACAATTGGGGCAATTAGTGAACTGTTTCAACCATAGGACCCCAGGAGCACTCCCTAGTAACATTGAAGTAACCCCCAACGAGAAAGGGAAGGAGCAAGTCCAAGTAGTAAAATTTAGGAGTGGTGGGGATTTAGATGAAACTTCAAGGATTATGAACACTCACATAGATGTGGAGTCTGATTTGAAAGGAGGAGAAAAGACCTGCTAAAGAAACTTAAAAACCTGAAACTCCTATCAAGAAGAAACTTGAGATACTTCCACCTCTATTCTCTCATATGTTGAAAAAATAGAGTTTGGATCAGCAAATTTCTAGGTTTCTAGAGGTCTTCAAGAAGTTAACCATCAACATTTTTTTTGTTGAAATCTTACAACAAATGCCTAGTTATGTCAAATTTATGAAGGATGTGTTGAAGCAAAAAAAAAAATTAGGGAATAGAGAGATCATGACACTAATTGAAGAGTGTAGTGCAATCTTGTTAAAGAAGCTACCTGAAAAGATGAAGAACCCTGGTATTTTCACTATCTCATGTGCCATAGGAGATCAATTTGTTAGGAGGGCCCTTTGTGATTTGGGAGCTAGCATTAATTTGATAGCACTGCCAATTTTCAAATGACTTGAACAAGGGGAAGCTACACTCACCATCTGATAAATCCTTAGCCTTTCTCATAGGTATCATTTAGGGTGTGTAGTTAAGGTATGAAGCTTCATATTCCCTACTGATTTTGTAGTTCTGGACATGGAGGAGGATAAGGAGATTCTCCTTATTTTAGGAAGACGATTCTTAGCCACCAGTAAGGCAAATCAACATTTGATATCACGAAGTCTATGAGATATTCCTAAGACTGAAGTGACGATCATTGATTTAGGATTGACTTAGTGGATGGGGTGATGACTAGCCAATTTTCTTAATTTTTGAAAGACAATCCAACAGAGTAATATGTCTTTGAGGATGAGATTGAGAAATCTAATGTTAAATCCTCTCTATTTGCAGAGGGCGACTCTAGGAGGTTTAGGGAGAGGTTTGAACCCTTAGAGTTGACCTTGCACAATGTTAAATCCTCTATATATATCCACTTGTGTGCGCGTGCGCACACACACAAGCATAACTTTATAAGAGCAATAATTATATAAAGAGGACAAAATTGATCAAGAACTTTCAGAGAATATTTCTATGAGTGATTTTATATACATTGTTGTAGAATCAAAATTTAAGCGATATATGTTGAACTTAAAAAATAAGTAGTGAGTATTTAATTTTAAAACTCTATCCCTATAAATGTTCTAAAACAATTATAAAAAATGATTATTAAATTAAACATATAACTAATATTAAATTATTATTAAGTATTTAGTTTTATAAGGGTAATTTTTTATTCTATTATATGATATTAAAGGGTTTTGTAAAAATCTAGGGGTATATATATTACATTTCAATTTATTTTTGGGCTACTTTGGTATGTTTCATGCAAATTCACACTTAACCCAAGCTCACTTCGAGTTAAAAAATTGATTCAATTTTGAAGCATTTTTTTATCTCTAGTTAAGCACATAACACCGATTCATTTTTAATTAAAAATCACCCCTTAGTTTAATTGTATCTATTGCGTGACTGAGTTAAGCCAGCTTATGCACAATTCAATAAATGACTCGTGAATGAAGGTTGATGAGTCAAAACGTTAGTTTGAACAAGTCCTAACTTGATTGGCCAGCTCGTAAGTCTCCTCGATTGTTACTGTTAACTTTGTGTGTAAAATCCCAATGTTAAATATTTATAAAATAAGAATTGAATAACTTACATTTATTAATAGCATCTGAATCTTAAAAAACACACTTTTTAAGGTTTGGAGTACTCAAAATCTTTATATTTTGATCCATTAATAAACAATACATTCTATGAATTTTTACAATGTATTTTTAATAATTTAGAAATGAAATCTATAATTTTAAAGTGTTGCATAAAATTTGAATCAAATATATAACCCAATTTTTGTTTTCCCATAACATAACACCATTAGGATTACACCCATACTCATAACCAAGATTTGTCAAATATCCACAAAGAACACCTTGTTGCATGTTAGAATCAACAATTGTCTAATTAAGAGCATGTATTTATGAAATTTCATGTTGCATGTTGGATTGTATTTGAGCTATACATGTCAAATCTAAACCTAAATCAAATCTATCTGGATCATTTTTAATGTTTCAATGAGATTTTGGCCTAAAAGTGATCTTGCATATTTAATTTTTAGCTTAGTGAAATTATCATGAGATCATTTTGAGGCTATAATATAATATTTGGCTAAAAGAAAAATGATTTATTTTAAGGTGCTAATTGCTAGCAATAATGAAAGTGCTAAGTTGGCTTTATTATTGTACACATTTTTTCTTTAACTTGTCAAAATCCAATACAAACTTTGCTAAGCAAAGAAAAAAATCAATTGAATCATATTGAAATCTTCAGCCTATAACTCCCAAAGAATTTTTATGTCGATACCTTGAAAATAATTGACTTAAGAGTCAAATTTAAAACATAATTACTCAAGCCATATCCCATAACGAACTTGACATGAAAGGCTTCTTTGATTGTAATTTTTTTTATTTAATGTGAAAATAAAATTTTTATCTTAAAAAAATATATGGCAAATTATTATGAACATAGAAATAAAACTTTAATAATTCAAAGATTTTAATTATCAATGTAATGATTCTTACGCAGATCATTTTTGTACAATGAGACCAGATTTTAACGAGACATCATCTTAAGTTCTTAACCTACACAATTACGACTTAATTGATTATGATAAAACACATCTCACAATAATAATACGCACTTTCAACATAAATTCAATCATTTAATTTTGATCATCACCAACACTAACCATAAAAAATTCATCAATACAGACTTGATCACCCGCTTCAAAATCTCCATCAAACACAAATTTTGGAGCCCAATACCTTCATCAACCCCTTCCATATTATTTGGGACATGTCCATCAAGCATGCATATTGACTTAGTTCTCTACCTCTCCACTCAAAGAATTAGAAAAATAAATAGCTTAATTTGACAAAGTACAATTCAAACTCATAAAAAAAAAACATCACATCCTCATCCACTCTTTTATCTATATAAATCTAATGATAAATTATTACATAAAATCAATTGCATTTATTATTTTAATATTATATCTATAACAATATATTAAAAAATATATACCACTTAGTACAACATTTTGAATCTCTCTCCACACAACATGACAAGACCTAGTTGGTCTCAAGTAGTGATATCATGAATACTCTTCCTCTTGGTCTCCTTCTTCACGGTCTGCCTCAAGTAAAACTTCTGCGCGTGGCTCGCCACCTGCGTCGGCGTCCTCGTCCTCACCGCCCATCTCGATATATTCCTCCAATCCCCTCTTCCGAATCTCTCCAATCCCTCCAAAAACCTCCTACAATCAATACCCCCAAAATCAATCATCAAACCCTAAATCCCCAAACACATCAAAGCCCTAAAAGAACAAAACGTACCTGTGCTCCTCTTCCGTCCAAGGAACCCCTTTCTTCCTCCCATCCTTCGCCGGATGCTGCTCCGGTGATCGGCCGCCGGAATCTTCCTCGTCTTCGTCATAGAGATCAAATCCGCCGGAATCTATGAGGGCGATATCGTGGAGGAGAGCGATGTAATGGAGGCGGACGTCTTCCGGCGACTTATTGGGGATCTGGGATGAGATCCTAAACCAACGGTCTGGAGTATCGTCTGGCATGTCGACGAGAGCTTTCTCAAACGCCTTGTTCTCCTCCGTCGTCCACTTTGCCGGAATCATGCTGGAGCTGGTGGCGTCGTGCTGGTGGTTGCGGTACATGTTTGCCTTGGGAGAAGAAACTGGAAGGTGGTGATAGCGCTTTGTCGGGTTGCTGGTCCGCATGGACACCGCACCGGGCGATTTATAGAGCAATTGCCCTTGATAGCGATGAACTCCTCTTTTTAACATTATTAAAATCATAATATAGATATCGAAATATTTAAATGATCGAAAACCAAATATATTATAAAATAGTACGATTATAAATGGTTTGCAAATAGATATATAAGCGATTGGCTATGTCTTAGGGTCTATTTGAGGCAGTTGCCGCTTATTAATAAGTTGTTGCTGATAAACAGCTGATCCAGATAAGTTGTTGATAAATAGCTGATCTAGATTAGTTGTTAATCCGAATATAACTTATTGATTGTTTGATTTGTGATGTTGGAAAAACAATTGTTTTGTAATTATTTTTGCACAAATGACAATTTTGCCCCTGTATTATAATGTTTTTTTTTTAATAAAATATGCTATTGAGTAAATTGTAAGATATCATATGATTATCATGTTTGTGTTTTACTTAATTTGTTAGATGATTAAGTTATAAAAAAATGATGGAATGGTATTCACATATAGTTGTTATATAGAAGAAACATTAAGTTTATTAATTTTATAAAAAATATTGTCCATGCCTATATAAATTAGAAGTAAATTAAGAATTGTTGTCCTATAAGAAGAAAATTCATATTAATATTGCCATCGAATCTCTTAAATATTACTCAACTAAAGTATTAGGATTCCAATTGAGTTCCTACTCAAAATGAATCATTTTTCAAAACTAACCCTTTATTTGAAAAAGTTTCAACATTTAGCAAAACTCTTTTAAGTCATGGTGAGCAAAATTATCGTTGTATTGAAATAACTTCTAAAGAAGCTAATTTAACAAACGAAAACAAATACACGGAGCTTCTCTGTATTCTCGAAAGTGAAGCTGTTTTACCAAACGAAAGCAAGTATATATATCAACATTCGCTACAACGGAACAGAGATTCACTGCATTATCAAACGTGAAGTTGCTTTGCCAAACGAAAGCAAATACACATATCGACATTCACTAGAATAATGGGTGATAACAATTAGTCTTAGATTCTTGGAATATATTCAACCATAGAGCATCAAACAAATTCATAAACTTAAATAAAAATGTGAAGCACACGTTTCTACCATCCCGACAAGCATAAGGCGGTGTGATGGATAAGCGTGGGAATGCACACGTGAAGCCACGGTGAGGGATCAAAATGCCAGAGGTCATTGTAGGCCAATCTCTGCCGTTCTTTTTGGTTCATATGGGGAGCGTTTCTGCGGCTCCAAAGCTTCGACAGCGTGGGCGGCCGGCGGGCCGATTGCGACGGCTTGCTTTAATTTTCGGATGTAGTTTTTGTTGGGGCTCTTCCACCTGCTCGAACGAATATGAATATATACCATGCATTGGATTGTTTACCAAGATAAGGAAAAATGCTCTTAATTAAAAAAAAAAATTTCGCACACATAAATAAAAGATAAAATAGACATTAATTTTTTTATGTAAAAAAAAAAATTGAAGCACGTGCATGATAAAATTTGAAGAATCTAGTCGTTGAATTTGAAAGCTTCTGGGAGATATAACCAAGTTATAGAGCGAAGAAAAGAGAAAAACAGAGAGAACAAAGTAATGAACAGTAAAATTGTGTAATATTTGTTCATGAAATGAACCTCCTATTTATAGATAAGGGGATCGTAGGATTACATATGTACCCCTAGTAAAGTAAGGACAGTAGGGGGTATTTTAGGTAATATGCATTAGTAGGGTCGAGAATTTGAAAAGGCACCCGACTCGGTATATAATCTAGGCGACCATAGGTTTGGGGATCGGTTGAAGGATGTGGGGAACCCGCCAAAGATTTGAGCGACTATTATTGTTCGTCCGGTCCGAGTGAGAAACCCCGCTGAACCAATCGTGAAGGAATTCAACCGGGATATCCTTTTGGAAGGCCCTCAATCATCACCTGATATAATGTTTGGATGGCACCCGGCTAACCTGAGCCAGGCGGTCGAAGGGTGGACCTATAAGTTTCTCCTGGTGGGCCCTTACTTGTCACGTCCCTTCCATTGTGGTTGTTGGATCTCTTTAAGACTCATATAGACATATTTTATAGGTGCACTACTATATAAGAAATATTGTATATGAATGATTAGTTTTATCTTTTATGAATATGATGTAGAAGATCGAAGAAGTTACATATGATAATGACAATAATCACGAGGTGGACGTCATTCAATAAATCCAAGTGTTCTTGACAATGATCACGAGACAACCGCCATTCAATAGTCATAGACTATTTTATATAAGCTTAAACTTTTAGTATGTAGTACAGTATAGAGTAGAAGTTCTAACCAAGACAAGATCATAACTACAATTGAGTAGCTCTAATTATGTATAGTTGGATTGGCTCATTTTCATCTTTCATCTGTGAATTCTTTAACTTATACCTTCAAGGATTATAAGTTCTACACCTTCTCAATACGCTTTAATGAGATGATTTATTTAAGAATCTCAATTTTTGTTTAATTTTGAATATTGAAACTAATTCTATATGGCAAAATGGCTTCAGGCCTGAAAGCCTAAGATGGGCCCATGTCGTCTTGAATTTTATTACCATTGCTACCAAGCCTTTTAGCCCATCATGCTATTTTGAAAGTCCTAAATAATTCAATAATCATTTATATATAGTTTCTTTATATGTAGAGATAATTAACTCACTTTATTATAGTGATTCATCACTACCATATAGATAAGTATCATAAAAATTTAGATTATCTTATTAAAACAATAATCACTAAATGAAAGTCTTTTTTTTTTATAATAATTCCAATGAATTAAAATACAAATAGTTATTAGTAATCAAGAGTATCTTCTAGATATATCCTCAAGCATAATTAACCTTGGCAAGCCTTAAAGATATGACTTATATATTGGGAGTATTTTTTATTGAAGTTTGGATAAGAGTTGTTGGTGAAATTCTCTGAATATATATAAAGAACACATTCATATCATTTTTTTTACTCAAATAGAAATTATCCAATTAGATTATTAAAAAAAAAGAAAGTTATTAGAAAGCATCAAGCAAAATTTTGAGATTCCATTTTTTGTGATTAGTTTATAATTATTATTATCAAACTTTGCTTGCAACGACAACAACAACAAGCCTTTGATCCCACTATGTGAGGTTAGCTGCCTGAATTCGTTTTCTCCATTGCGTCCTATTGAGTCTCATATTGTCATTTAATTTTAATAGATTAAGATCATCTTTTATATGATATGCCCAAGTCTTTTTAAGTCTACTTCTGCATTTCATAATATAAGTCAAATCTAAAACATCTACTCTCATAAACAGATTATCAAATGGTCGACATTCAATGTGAACAAACCATCTAAGATGACTCTCTCGAATATTCTTTGTCGCTAGAGCTACACCAACCCAATCACATATATATTCATTTCGCATTTTGTCTCTAAATGTCAAGCCACTAATCCATCCAAGCATTCTCATCTTAGCAACACTTAACTTTGTTTTATGTCCATCTTTTAAAAGCCAATATTTTGTGCCATAGAGCATTGTACATAGGTCTCACCACCATCATATAATTTCCTTTAAGTCTAAGCGATACTTTTCTATCACACAATAGGCCTGATGTATTCCTCCACTTCAACCAACTAAATTGAATTCTGCTAATAACTTCCCTATCTATGTGACCATCACTTTGAATGAAGCTTTTCTTTAATGACACAAAATAGAACCTCCATATTAATAGCATGAAAAAGAAACCGAGATAATGAAAAAAAAAAATCTTTGAGACTAGAGTTAGAATAAAAAATCAATGTAGCTCATCATTAATGATTGTATAGGAAAAAATTAAAGGTATGCATTCATGATCCAGTTGACCAACTATTGAGCAAAATGAAAAAAAAATGATTACGCTGAGCTTTTAGCATAATCAAAGGCCTAATATGGTGCAACCAAAGTTAAGTCTTTACTTTATCATAATATGTCTTTCTTGAATTTATGTTAAAGAAATATTCAAGCATGATAATTCTATATAGGATATGTGCATAATAAATCGACACGAGCTTGTTGTCAATATATAAAAATTTATATTATGGAGTTTATACTTTTTAGGGTTTACTTATACAGATATATTTTCTTTAATTAGACATATATTTTCTTATAATTAGAATTGAACTTTTAATTACTTTTAAAATCAACTTCATCACATAAAAATTTTGGATTAAGATTTTATTTCATTTTTTCAAAAGCTTTATAGCAAAAATAATATTCTTAATTGTATTTCTACTTTCCATAAAGGTTACTTGAGAAGGAAATATGATCTTAGGAAGAATGAATTTTATTTTCTTAGTAAGAAGTCTACCAATACTTTTCTAAAAAGTATTTTAATAAGGAAAATTTTTGAAGTCATTGATGAGATAATCATTTTGTTTATTTATTTATTTTTTTGTGAATAAAAAAAAAATTATGTGTTTAAAATAATTAGATATTCTTGTTATTTTAAAAATTTCCTTACAACTTTAAGAATAATTTTCCAATAATCTCTCAAGCATCATTGAAAATTTTGGCACTTAAACTAACTCGAGTAGTGTTTTTAATATCCAACATTATAAAGGCATAACAAGTTGCATGGTGTATTTTAGAAATAATAAGAAGCCCCACTTCTAAACTGAAGATAAATCATTGTCAACACTATTAAATAGATTTTAAAGCTAATGAATAATTTTAAAATTGATCTTAGATTGAATGAAAAAAGTCCCTCTTTAGAAAAAAAAAATTCTTTAATTTAATTAAGATTTTTCTTATAACTAATATTTTTTAAAGAGAGCTCAAGTCAGCTTCCTCATTTTTAATCATCTTCTTTAGTTCTTTGACAGGCCCAATTATATTCATTGGAAGAAGCATTTATGTGGTCTTCTTGCATGTTCTTAACTTGAACAAGAAGAAATTGTTGGTTTCAAGGATTACTTTACATCATATGAAAACATTTTGGGTGAGTTCATCTTTAACCTTTTAATTACTATTGGAAGACTTGATTAGTGGTGAGATTAAGTATTTGCTTGAAAACGTTGAATTTTTTATATGAGATGAGATCTTCAATTACAATGGTGCTCTAGGAAATAATGCATATTGAAAATGGGGAGACAATTTCACTCTAACACAGTTGTTATACAAGTTTGCTTATATGATGTGTGTTTATGCCTTGTTATTTTGATAGCTGGGTTGTTTTATAATGTCCTTTTTTTTGGCAAGAGGATATGAGAATTGATTATGAGTTTCTATTATCATAGGAATAACATGGTTTATACTTTTACTTTTCATTGCCTTTTTTGTATTTTTATATTTTTTTGCATTTGTGTTGCATTTCAACTTAGATATTTTTTGAGCTTACTCAGAAGGAGTTGAGAGAATAATATATTTCATCTATCATGATTGTGCTCATCGAAAAGAATATTTTCTTGCTACTAATTTATGAAAATTTTATTAAATAATTAGATATTCTTCAACGTCTGGCTAGCATTCCGAATGTGGCCATGCCGTCGCACGACGGCTCATCCGAACCACTATCTGACGTGCGCATTAAAAATCATATATTTGACTTCAAAACAAAATTAAATACTATTAGTTTTATAATGTTTGACATATCATTGCCAACTTTACATGATAAACTTCATTCAATAAATCATCCAAACTCGCTGACTCATGTTATCATCCCCAACAAAATGATTTCTCCACTCTTCAACCGAGAAAAATCTCAGTGATTAAAACAAAATCAAAGCTTCAAAATTTCTACAACATACTAACGTTAAACATCATAAAAAATACACGACATTAACCCATCATTATTATTAGAGTCTCATGTGCCATAAAACATGTAGCCATGCAAACACTACATATAGCTAAAAATTAAGTTCTCGTATCCATACAAATCACCTCACTTTTTTCTGCAAGTAACGAGCAGAAGAATCTTTCCCTGCAAATTTTTTCTCATTATACGCTCTGCAGTTATAACACGGCGCACGAACGCCGGAAAACCCCATGATGGGGCCTGCGGCCAAGGTATTGAGAAGAGGAAGAAAGTGAGCTTGAACGAAGGAGACGATGGCCATGGCTGCTGGTTTTTCAATTGAGAAAAAAAATAGAAAAAAATGGAGAAGAGTTGTGGACCAGGTGGAGATAACTCGTGGTTTTATAGATGGGAAGATGTTGATGCATTGCAGCTGTTAGATAGAAGGCGACAAGCAACTGCTGGGTTTTGAACTTGGCTAAGAGATTAGATTGGTATGTTTCTTGTTCTGTTTGATGTAAAGGACATTAATTAAGAACGAAGATAACAATAAGATTTTTTTTTTATTAGAAGCTTTGTTTGAAGGGGTCATGCGGAAGATCCCGGTTTCCTTGGTTCACTGATCTGCTCTTGTTTTTTTCTATTGTATTTATCTCTCTTTACACACACACATGCGTACGTGGCGTGTTATATCTCGGCGTGCATGTTAACCGGAACCTTCAAAATTTAAATTTGAATTTATAATCAAATGAAGTGTCTTAATGAGACAAACAAAATGACATTAAAAAATGATCCAATTTGAGCCCAAATCATGCAGCTAAAACTTAAAGAGAAGCTTGAGATATGTTTTGGGAGACTAAATGATCTCAAAATCTGACGAGCTATTAGTGAAATTGAGTATTTCCATGAGATGACTTCAACTATTTTAAGGTTGCTTAATTTTAGTATTATTAAGGTATTCAAAAACTCGTAAAATCATATTCGGTCAAGGAAATTAGTCTGGCTCATTCGATAGAGTCATTCAGATTTATGCAGTATTTATGGACCATTCCACTGCTAAACTTTATAAATAAAACACATCTCTTCATGAGAAGGGGGAGTCCAGGATAAGAAGAATGAAGGGAGCTCCAAGCTCTTGGGGATTCCTAAGCCCCGCCTCCGCCAAAGCACATCGGTTGGGTCTCTACGGTCGTCGTCGGGCCATTGCTGCTTGACCCACTATAAGAATTTTGCATATTTTCAATGATCAAATTTCATCTGTAAATGTAAAACTGCCTTCGGACAATAAAAAATTAATGATTTTTCAACAGCCCAGAGGACATAGCTATTTCACTTATCAATAATCCACGAACTATTGGTTTGGAATGTCTCACGGCATACTGACAGATAATATCCGGCGTTTATGTTAAAAGCATAGTTTTTGGTAAGTCATCGATTAACTGTTAGTTACATAACCGACAGTACAAGCCATCAGTTAGGATAAGAAAATATACCCGTTGGTTAGTTGTCGATTTACCGCCGGATACCTAACCGATGGACAAAAGCCTTTGATTAATGCCAAAAGGAAAAAAAAATTATGGGTTGCTCATGGGTAAGCTTGTAGGTTTAGTAACTAACCATACCTTAACACAAAAAAGAGGGATATCGCTACAAGAATTTAACTTATTACCTATTATCAAATACTGTTGGTAATAATATTAAAAGTGTAGGAAATTTAATTATTGACGATCAAGCAATAGTTATTCGACATAGCAAAAAAAGATTGTTGGTAATTAGGGATGTAAACGAGCCAAGCCTGACCGAGCTCAGGCTAGGCTCGTGTTCGGCTCGTTCGAAATTGACTCATATTCGAAAGTGGCTCGTGTCCAAAATGACTCGCAACAGTGTATTTGTGTGTGGCTCGAAAAACTTATTCATGTTCATATTCGGCTCGAAATTGACCCGTTATAATATAAAATTATTATGATAATTAATTTTTAAAATAAAATTAAAATAATAATTTTTCTAAAAAATTGTTTGTATAAAAAATAATTAATTATAATTTATCATATTTAATTTAGGAATATTTATTATGTATATTTATTTATTTTCAATCCAATTCTAGCCGAACACAAGCGAACAAACTTTTGTTTGTTTTCGTCGAGCTTAAGAAGTTGTTCGTGTTCGGCTAGTTAGGCTTAATGAATGAGCCGAACACGAGCTGTTTAACAAGCTGAACACGAGCTGTTCGCGAACAATGGGCCAAATTGACAGCCCTATTGGTAATATAATTAGATACAAATTTATCGACAGTTATTATAAAACTGACCGTTATCCTACAAACATTAATTGTCGATATTGGTTAAAAACATGTCATGTTTAACCGTTGGTGTTCATCAGTAATATAACAGACGTATATATCTGTCAAAAAAGTGTTGCACTTCTGCTATAAAAATGTCATTCTTTCGTCGGCAAAGTAGCACACTCCTTGGTTAACTGTGGATAATTATCGACGATTGTAGTCGTAACAAAAGGGCAGCACTCTGTGAAGTGTAGCTAGTTCATCGAATAGCTATCTAAACTTAATCAGAGAGTAGTAAAATAGTCGGTAAGCCATCAAAAACTTATAGCATCAGGAAAAAGATTAAACTCCTCATTCAACGCTATGATTTAAATACCTGCAATCGTGACAATATGATTTCCACACAGCATAACACATTGCAGTAATGAAACTAATTAACGCATAAATCATATACATACACAAAGAAAAAACAATTGCATTAAACGAAATGAAATATACAATTGTCCAATATAAATATTGTTTGGAATAAATAAATTGTTCAATATATACAAACATAAAAAAAAATCCTATTCATCTTCGTCGGTCCTCTCATCATCATCGTCATCCCGAACTTGTTGCGTTCCCCTCTGCAGTTCAGAACTCAACACGGCTTCAATCTTTGATTTCATCTTCTGCTCCATCTCTAATCTTGGAGTGGCTAGTTGGGTGGATTTCTGGGTAGCAACCTTAACAGCAACCTGACAACGAATCTCCTCCTCCTGTGCAATAGAAGTAGATGTACTAAATGTGCTAGAGGTCAAACATACATTATAAGCAAAGCGTACTAAATGTGCTAGAGGTCAAACATACATTATAAGCAAAGCCTGAGAAACTAACCTGTAGACCTGTCATTCTTCTTGTCGCCAATAGCCTCTCTCCATAGGTCTTACTCAGAAGAATGGTGAGATGTTATCGAACCACCATCCAATTGTTGGGATTAGCTCTCCTTGAGCCTCTGAAAGGCCTCCTACAAAAAATATAATTAATGCAAGTTAGAGACTAAATAAATTAGTTATTTATATTTTATACTAATTAATCTTGTGAATTACCTCAATCACATGGGATCTTTTGTCCACTAGGACTGATCTGGTTGTCACCTATGAGCGTGCTCGTGTAACTCTGCAGCGGTTGGCTCCCGTCCTTTCTCTAGAGTCCATCGGTGCAATGATACATTTAGCATACATTTAATGTAAAAAAAGATTTAATGGAGAAAATAAATCTTACTAGCCTCCTTGTACTCCGTGTATGGGAGCACCGCAACAGTGTGCTTCAAGACCCTCATGGCCCTGCAGTCAGAGCGGTGATTCTGCTTGTCCCACTCCCTCTTCTTCTGATACTCGGGAGAGTTTAGGCCCCAACGAGGGTGATGAATACATCCTCGTCGAGCCACAAGGGGCGTTTATGTGTCTGGCATATATCATTGAACTTATGGAGAAGACGGTCGCTCGCCTTGTGCTTGAAGTTCCTCTAGATGTGTGGCTCCTCCTCAAGGGGCTAGAACCACTGTTTTTGTACATTGAATCAAAAAATGTTAGATTCATAAACATAAATACATAATTGAAATTATTGTGTTCGGGGTTTACTGCAAACTCCCGAAACCCCATATCGTGAACTGTCGTTGTGATCTCCCTCCAGGATAATTACAAGTGATCGTACTTGCTCTGAATAATGTCTTTAATGAAATGTATGGCATGTGTGGGGTAGTAAATTTGAAAATAGTATATTATTAATTCTCAATCAAATTAAAAAAATATAAAGTCGTGATGTCAGTATTAAATTAAAATTTATGTGTTCCCATTGCCCGGAGATGATGACGGTTGCTCGTACTGCTAGAACTAGACGACGCATCAATAACAATTGATGGTGACGGTGTCGGTATGCTGGTTGTGGTTGGTGGCGGTGGTGGTGTTGTGGTCGCGACTGGTGGTCGTGTTGGTGTGGTAGTGATGATTGGAGGCGGTGTTGGATAACTGTAAAAAAGACCTCGAAAAACGATAACAAGTGAAAAAAGTAAAAATAATCTTCTTTCGTTCATTATAATTTTCAAACCTGCAATCGTGCACAGATACAAATTCAATTATGCATCACACACTCTAAAAAACCAATCTAAGCAATTATTAAACTAAAATCACATGCATGAACGCACAAATTAAACATAAAAATAAAGGCAATACATTCAATTAAAAATAAAACTATTCGCATATAAGAAAAAACATGCTCGACATGTCTCATAAAACAAATAGAAATAAAAAAAAAACGTCATAATCCTCCTCGGTGCCCTCATCATCCTCCTCTTTAATATCATCTTATGTTGGTTGTTTTCTTCTCAGGTTTGTTTGACGCCACAACAAATCCAATTATATTTTCACTTTAGCCAATATTTTAGAATTCATCTGAGTGAGTTGGGCAGCAAATTTGGTTCAATATCTGCAGTGAATGCGACAACCTACCTACAAACCTCATCATCCTAGGCGGTAGAAGTAGATGCAGTGAATACATTGGAGAAGGGATGAGCGTCGTAGGCTTATGCCTGAGAACCCAATCCATAGCCTTTCCTTTCTTCTTGCCTCCACTAGCCTCTCTCCATAGCTCATACTTAGAATAATCACAAACCAGGATCGTAATATTCGTTGCTATGCTCCCTTTCAAGTTGGAATTCACTTGTAAGGTTAAAAGAGAGGTTTTATATACATAACACTTAATTCCTATGTATTGATATATCTAACACCCAAGCTTTGATTTTTTACGATTATACCAACTTATGGAAGAAAAGGCATATTTCACTTTTAAGTTAAGATATTAGTTTATAATAAGGAAGATTTGCATGGTATAAATGTAAATAGCAAAATTTAAATGTTACATATCTAAGTACATGTGAATTGAATGGTATGTATGTCAATGCCCCAATACTATTTGGTGGGCGAGCAAGTGTAAGGTATCTTTTTTTTCTTATTACTTATCATTCTTTATTAGAGAGAGTCGTCTTAGATGGTTTGGTCACTTTGGTCACATTAAACGCGTCGACCATCTGATGATTCTATTAGGAGAGTAGATGTTTTAGATTCGACTTATGTTAAAAAAGGCAGAGGTAGACCTAGGAAGACTTGGGCTTATTGTATAAAAAATGATCTTAATTTATTTGAACTAAATGAAACTATGACACTAAATAGGACTCAATGGAGAAAAAGGATTCATGTAGCCAACCCCACATAGTGGGATTAAGGCTCTGTTGTCGTTGTCGTTCCCATACTTGCTTACGATTCTTTACAAATTAAGATACCCCCTCCCGCATGCTTTTGTTTAATATTAATTTTTGCTACACATATGGTTGGGCTAATTTGGGCTCATATCGGATCACTTTTGATATTGGGTTCAGCTATAAACTTACTGAAATTTTGGTTTGAGTGATTTTGTATTTGACTGGAAGTTATCCAACCGAACTTTACGTTGATAGTTTTTATCGATCAAGTGAATTGTTTTGGGCGGCATATTAACTATATCTCTAGTTCTCTGTTAATGATTTTAATGAGACTATGATTATATGCTTAAGCAGATGTGGCATGGATAACTTGGAAGGCCTACATGCAGGAAACCGATGTACATGCCATGGATATCTTGGAAGGCTTGCAGGCAGGTTATCTATCGTCTGTTCTAGATATAGGAGGAATACATATATACATTAAGGTGTATAGAATGCATACCACCTTCACAAAAAAAAGAGGAGGAAGAAAGGAGAGTTTTACCCTTCTGTGAGAAACTTCAGGAAGATGCACATACATACTGATTAGTTTTTATGTATTTAAATAATCTGATTCCTAAACTTCAATTTTTATATGAAAATCATTTTACCTACGCATGAAGAAGTGAATTTTCTATTTAAAACATAAACAGTGGCATCTTTTTCTTATGATATGAAAGATTTGGTTGGTATATGTGTAAGATTTGAATTTGAGGTGCTAGATATGTAAATTCATAGAAATTGGGTGGCGTGTATGTAAATCTTCCTGAAAATTATTAGCTTGCACACTCCTACTAAACTTGATATTGACGGCTCTGCTTTTCATTCCACCACTTAAAATTTTTAGGGCATTTACATACATGTCACACAATTTTTATTTATTTACATATCTAACACCTAAAGTTTGATATGTAAACTTTTAGCAGTTTGGAGTGATACAACTATGCAAAACAAAAGTTAAGGGATGCATTTCACTTTCGATATATATATATATATATATGCTCATGATTTTCTTTTTATATATTACTTGAATATTATGGTTGCAGATATGGATCCTTAGGCGCTAAATAGGCAAATATATGAGGATTTGTGTGGCATAGATGCTGACGTACCTATTAATCAGATGATAATCTTACCTATTAAGGCATTACAGTTGATTAAAGTTATTTTATTTAAGAGGGGAGATTTACATACATATCACTCAGTTCTTATATATTTATGGGCGGCTTGGAAGACCCTTACTTTTGAGGGTAACCGCTGTTTCCATGAGTTCTTGGGAAAGAACTGGTAGGTGGATATGTTTCGATGGAATGAAAACGGGACTTGGCTTCTGATTCCCCATTCCCTTTCCACTTTTCTATATCCTCAAGCATCTAATTAGAGCCATGAAGTGGATAGATATTTGCTCATTGGCAGAAGTTATGATCTATCTTAGTCTGTCGTGCGTGTGTTTTATTTGACTTGAGTTCAAATGATCCAAGGTGATAATGTCAAATGATAACAGTGACTTGAGCCTAGATGGTATGCTTTAATGCACACTGGTGTTACACCCTTCCAAAATAACTCATTCGTTTATGTGTTCTTTCTGGTAGCTTTCTTATTGACTTGCTAGAAAGTTGACATGGTCCTATTTGACTGTTATTTCTTTTGCTGCTTTTTTAAGACCTTAGAATAGAACAAGAGACCGGCAATGAAAGCCTCCTCTCTGATTTGAAAATAGCACAAACACAAAAGAAAAAAAAAATGTAACTTTAAACTGATTCCCAAACCTCCCTTCCCTTCCCATAAAATCGAAGAGGTAGAATCTGACGGCAACGGCAATCAACACCTTTAATACAGCAGAAACCGGAAAAAAAAATTTTATTTTGAAATCAAGCAACAGTAGAAAGGATTCCTAAGTGATTCTCGAGATAATAGCAGCATTTCAAAGATTAAAACAAGCACTCAATTGAGGTGAGTACCTCGAAATCTTACCGATAGCACAAACCCAAGCCAAGTAAGCAGAGGCGAGGAGCTAAAAAACGTGGAGGGTTCCTCGCTATATTCTGCCCTTATCTCCGTAAGAAAGCGTCGAAGCAAAAGCCTGAGCTTTGATTTCTACGGCACAGCAAAAGCGCGACCAGGCAAGAGACTTCTACGCTGCTCTTGAAATGAAATAGGCGAGGGTTTTGGGAAGAGAGGGCGGTGATCGGGAGGAACCAGGGTAATGTCCCGATTAAGTATCGAAGAGGAGAGGGGTTTAGCCAAGCGAGTGCTTCCGGAGAGGGAGTTTTGAGAGCCGAAAACCTAGCACAATATGAAGCCCGGATGTGTGGGGACTTGCGGGCGTGAGGTGATGCGGGCAAAGCTTTAGACGCAGAGAAAGAGAGGTTTTCGGCTAGAGGTTATGGGGAGTCGCCTCACAATGCCGTGAGGTAGAAGGGGCTTCCGGGGGAGAAATTATTGCCTACGGGCTCAGATCCTCATCCGCTTTTTTAAAAAAAAAAAAAATTTAGATAAGATCCACCGAAATATATCGGACCGTATATCAGGTGGAAAAAAAAAAATTTAGATAAGATCCACCGAAATACATCGGACCGTATATCAGGTGATTTACGGTACGGATCGGAGGGATCGGCCCCCGCCGGCAGGTTGGGTGCGGTGTCCGATTCGTATGGAATAATTTTTCGTGAGGTAGAAGGGGCGAAGGCGAGGGCGAGGGCGAGGGCCGAAGCGGTGGGAGAGATGGAGGGAGAGTGCGTGTGCTTTGTTTTGTGTTGCTGTTGTTGTTTTCTTTAATTATTATTATTATTATTATTTGATTTAGGCATGTAAATACGTGAGATTCTCCTCATTTGGAATCATACCAATGTGAGTGTTCTTATTAAAAAAAAAATTTTGACGTTCCAGACGCGCTCGAGTGATCTGTTTCGTCATTCGAGATCGTCTGAACAAGTCTGTCAGCGCTCGAGGCAATTGAAGTTTGATTCACGCGCGACGCGGCAAATAACATTTGTCGATCTGATTGCAGTTATCTGACAAATGAAATGCCGACTGGTTCTTACCTCAGCGACGACCAAGGTCTAGCAGAACCCTCTCGACAACGAGTCGCTCAACCCGTGTCGAAGGGTCTCAAATTTATTTCATGAAGGCTTTCATTTTGTTTAAATTTAATTTTGGTGTCGGTTAGTGAATTGTGTATGAATTGTGGTGTTTATATGAACTATGTATGTGGTTGTGTATGTGTATGTGTTTTAAGGATATAAAGCCCCTAAAATTCCAAGGGTTTACCAAAGGCATTCCCCAAATCTTACAGGAACTTGATTTGAGTTTTAATATGTTGGTTCTAATAGGCTCAAATCCATGGGGCAAAAAGGCAAAGCACTTTAAGCCGGGGTGTGATATGAAAGATAGCGGTGGTGGTGGCTAGGGATAAAATTTGAGAGGAGAAGAGGGAAAAGCGTTAAAAGAAAAGGTCATAAAACCCTAGCAAAGTGTGTGCCCCTTTTAATCTCCTGCGCTATATTTTCAAACATAACTGCGATGATTTGTTAGAAAATAAAACTATCTATCACATACATCTATCATACACAAGTTTGTTTTATTCTAAGAAGCTGTCTATCACATACATTTATGAAAAGTAACAAGAAATAGCTAAATAAATTGTGACAATGTTCAAAATAGAAAAATAAGTATTATGAGAACATATAATTTTTGAATCCTGCTATCTCACTTATACTAAAACATGCATGAAAATGCAAATTTTAGTTTAGAAAACTTACTATTAATTATTGTTTGGATGTTATATAAATAAATATTAAAATTTAAATATTTGATATACAAGTATATACAAATTATGTGTTATGTATGCGAATCTCCAAAAAATAGGTTGGAAATTTTTTCATATAAATTTGGGTTAATATCATTGAGACAATATGATAATGTTGATGATACAATAATTTGATCCTTGCTCATGCATTGCTTATTGTAGAAAAATAAGTGTTTTCTTAAATACAATAACTTTGTTATTTTACGAATAACATTAGCTAATACAAAGTTTAATGACATTAAGATGTCTCATTTTTTGTGCTCGAGTGAGGCCAACTATGTGATATGCTTAAATTTTAAATTGTTGGCTTTCCACCATGATCTTACAAGGTTTGAACTTATCTTGGCTTGCATCTAATACTACCTCATTCTATATAATCTAGTTTGCTTTGAAGCTTTTCATGATCAGACCCAAATTAAGTTACTTAATTCACCCATTTTGTAAGGCAAGGCTATAGCTATGAAAATTTATAGAATAGGAATGTATGTAACATAATAATGCAAACTAAGAAGTAGTAGAATGATCATTGTACCCTCATTAAAGAATGGGTATCACTCTAAACCTCATTAAAAATTTTGGATATCAATTATATTTTAAAGTATTATACTTTATAATATGGAAATATATAATTATTTATAGAATTTATATCATGATAAATTTTAAGGGCCATCTAAGTAACACATGATATAAATTTTTATATAGTGCCATGATTTAGTAAAATTACACAATCATATGAGTTTTCATAACTTGCCACTTTATTTTCAATCAAATCAAATCGTTGATAAGGGTGGTTGTGAAGCTTATTTTTTTTTTTTCAAAATTTTTTCTCGATCAAACACTGTCTCTCCTCTCTCCTTCTTGGGTTATTGGGTTTTTCTCTCCTCAAAACTTTGGGATTTGCATAAGTGGGAAGTTTCAATGTAACTCAAATCAAATTATAAATTTCAAATTCAACTAAAAATTTTATAAGGACTAATGACATGTCTTCCATATCATTATGCATGTATTTAATATGAATACATTATAGTTGTGTGGGATGTATGTAAATACCTCTTATGATATTTTGGCTAGGTTGTTTGCTATTCTTTTTTCTCATGTTTTCTGTGATTGATTTATGTGTTGCAGGTGTTGCTAACTTTACATTAACATTTCCAAGCGTAAAAATATTTTCATTGAAGAATTGAAGGTAAAAAAAATTATCAACATAATTAAGAATTAAACTGCATAGCTCCTCATCTATCAACAACATTTTCTCCAAAGTATGGATTTCTTTTTATATAACACTGAACATGGGTAGATTATTGCTATCTATGGGTGTTTCATTTAAAAAAATAAAAAATAGGAACCGCCTCAAAAAGGATGGGTGGTTGATGCTTTTGTTCTTGGTAGAATGTTGGACATACAAAAATGTTAGTCTTTAAGGCATAATATTTCTAAGTTATTATGCAAGGCAAATTTTCTCTTATTTGAAAAATAGGCTATATCCATGTCTGATGGTAATTTTAAATAGCCAAGATTTAATCCAATTTTAAAAAAATAATGGACAACAAGTTCTTACCTAAACATTTTCCAATCGACGTGAGAGATAATTATTTTCAAGAATAATGCAAATTAATAATGCAAATTAAAAAAAAAAAAACATCACCCTAAAACTTTTCAATTATTTTCTTCAATTTAATTTACTTAAAATATTTGATTATTCCATTCTTTTATTTCTTTCCTTAACCTCTTGATAAAGACAAATAAAATTTTCTTGCAAAATTGAATGCAATATCTAAGAAATGAAAGAATGGATTATTTTTAAGATGAATGCAAACTAATACCAAATTATTATTATTAAATTCTCTAGAAGATATATTCAAGCTAATTTCTTTAGCATAATTAATATGAATTTTATTTATTTATTTACTGATCTCTTGAAGAAGTAAATAACTTCTTTTAGCAAAAGTAAATGAAGAGTTGTGTGATATTAAGATGACTTTTAGGATTGAATCTATATACAACCTCAAATGAAGTTTTATGAGTTATTTTGTAGATTTTAATATTATATGCATGTGTGTGTGTGTGTGTGTGTGTGTGTGTGTGTGTGTGTGTGTGTGTGTGTGTGTGTGTGTGTGTGTGTGTGTGTGTGTGTGTGTGTGTGTGTGTGTGTGTGTGTGTGTGTGTGTGTGTGTGTGTTGTCATGATGATATATGATAAACCATAAAACCTTAAAATTTATAGAGAACTTTGCAATTGGTGATGCATCATTGGTTTTATGAGAAAAAAATATATATGCTATTTTAGAAAATATATCAATTAGTAATCTATTATCAAGTTACCAAAGTTTGTCCTTAGAAAGTCACTGAAATTTTTATTGAAAAATTATTATTATTAATATAATATAGTTCAACGAGACTAACCGAGTTGTACTAAGATTGAGCTGATCCATGTCCAGATGTGCTCAAGTTAAGCACTTACAAACATGATTGGAAACTTCTAGAGGGAAATTTGAAAGGTTGATTTTCCTCTAAATTTTATTTTTATATGGTCAAAATGAATATTTCATAAAATTTTTTTACATGCTAAACCTTATAGAATTATGAGATCGTTAAGTTAATTAAATATTCAAAAGATTAAAGGATCAAAGGATCAATTGAGATTATTTTATATAGTGTCCTTATTGTTTTGCAAAAATGTTCACAATACCCTTCTATAAATCTTTAAATATACACATGTAAGAACTTATAAATGAGAGAATTCCCAACATTGTAGAATTTTAGTGTCTTAACCATCAAGTGTAACCCCAACTAATTGTCACTTTTATAGTCACCCAATTTCCTCACTAAACATCCAACTTCCATTGTCACCATTATTAGCCATTACAATTTATCTTTGCCTAGCACATGCTTGAACCAATGTCAATTATTACCATCTTTCAACGTCATCATCCATCACCACTACCTTCCAATATTTTTTCATTATGATTAGCATGAAACAACCCTAGCGATTCAAACTTCGCAATCTTATGCCATCAGATAACAGAGAAAGGTGGATCTTGATTTATTAGAAAATGTTCATCCAAGCCAAGCACTTCATTTTTATTCCATAAGTTTCACATAAAAATCATTCCCCTCTTGCATGTTGTGTTATTCAAACTTATTTGTGTTTGACTTTTGGGGAATGTTAACGTTATGTTTGAAACAACTTTGTCTATTTTGTGTTTCAGACTTTTATCACAACTCTCTTCGACAAAAGTATTTTCTTACGAGTTTTTTTTATAAATTTTGCGGGCCCATTATCAACTAGTTTTTCTTAGAGCTCTCTACTCAAAATTTTTTTTTTTGCATCCATACCATTACCAAGCTTGAGTGAGCACAGGAGCACAGGCTGGACTCATGTTTGGCTCGTTTGAAATTGCTCGTGTTCAAAATCAGCTCGTGTTCGAAATCGACTCGTGAACAGTGTGTTCGTGTTCGGCTCGATTTAAATATTTGTATCCGTGTTCGGCTCGAAATTGGCTCGTTAAAATTAAATGAAAAAAATAGATGTAATGTGTTGGATTTGAACCTGGATCACATTACCACAAAAGGTATTGCAATTTAAACTTAGATATAAATATACATAATACCGATGTGTGCCAGAAAATTTGCGGCGATAGAGAAATGAATTATCGTCTTAGCGTTGCACGAGAATTCATCACACACAGATAACATAAGAGAAATAAGCAAGAGGAGACACCTTGACTTTTTACGTGGAAAACCCTTGAAAGGAGGAAAAACCACAGGGTTTAGTCCAGTTGAAATAATCCACTATGAATGATGAGCAAACATGTTCATTCTTCTCCTAAATTAGGGAAGATGAAATAATAAAGTTGTATAAATATAATCTGGCTGCAGTTCTTGGTGACAGCAGGTTGCAAGGGTTATTGTTGATTGTTGTGGAGGTAGTAGTCCATCGTGAGTAATGTAGATGGCTGCTCCATAAGTCTTGCGTAGTAAGCAGTTTCTTGAGCTGTAGACCACATAAGCCGTAGTGACAAGTATGAATGACGTCCGTAAGTCGCCGGAGTCGGGAGCTGCTCGAGCTGTGAACCATGTAGGTTGTTGTTGACACATGGACCGTAGTGATGAGCTCATGTCCCACGACGATGACTGAGGTGTCTGATTGGTGGTGATCTACGATAATTGGTGATGATCGACAGTGACGGTTGATAGTGGATGACGACGATCGACAAATGTCGATGACGGCCTTACGGTGGCCAATGATGATCAACGATGGTCGACGACGATTGGGATGATGCTGGATTTCAGCTCCTTCCTACAGCTTCCAGTTTTCTCTGAAGCTTCCAATCCCCCCTCATGTGAGAAGTGAATCTCTATTTATAGTGTTCTGGGTGTCATTAATGCATGAATATGAATCATTTGGATCAGACGGCCCGATAAGCATCCTCAAATCAAATGACGTTTAATGGACATTTGAGTGCCTTAAAGATGTTGGAATTGCCCAATCTTAAGCTGGCTGGATTCTTCTTATCGAGACACTGGATTCGATTATAAACTTGTTAGATTCGACAACCGTTTGACCTTCAAAATAGGTCCAAAATTTTTCCAAGAATGATTTAATGACTTGATATCATTAGGCCTGTCTCATCGAGTAGGTCAGTTTGACTATAAGTTTGCTGAAATCAGAGCTCTATATGAGTTTTTATCAAGGTTTGAATATTCATTGCTCGTAATATTATCTCAAGATCCGTGTCATGTCTAAATATTATCTCAAGATCCATGTCATGCCTCGAAATTTGAATTGAATAATTAAAATTTGTTTATAACGTATCAAATACATTATTATATAAATAATATATGTAATATATTATTATATAATAATTTTTTTTATTTCAAGCTAAAACGAGCTGAACACGAGTTAAAGAAGAGTTGTTCGTGTGCGACTTATCTATAATTCGAGCTTTAAAAATTTATTTCTCTTCAAAATTTGTTTTCGTCAGTTAACAGGAGCTCCAAACGGGGGAAAATATTTGCATACATAAGACGTATGCAGTGGTGCGTACGTCCAGGGGTTATTCAGAGGGTACAGGAGGGTTATATCGGGGTTATACCTCTCTGTAACCCCCTGTAACCTCTTTGTAAACTATCTATAACCTACAAATGAGTTCCACACTTCTATAATTTTATGAATATAAATAAATTGTACGGAAGTTACCAGAGTATTACACAGAAATTATAGGGATATAATAAGGATATAACCCCACTAACGTGCAACACAAATATTTTCCCGGAACTGTTGGCGAACAACTTGTTTGACCGCCCATACCGTGTTTTTCAGTTGTGAGTCTGTTGACGTTTCGAAAATTCGTTCATTTTATAAGGGTGTGGCATAGCTTTATTCATATTTTCTCCTCTTCCAACATCCGTTCCGATTTTTAAGCTTCGTTTTGCGACGGCGATGGGCAACCTAAGCGCCCTCCTTCCCCTCCTGCTCCTCTTGGTCTCCTCATCCCGCTTTCTCCTCCAAGAAGCGCGGCCTCTGCACTCTTCAGCTGCAAGTAATCCATCAGCCCTACCTTTCTGGCCTTCTTTGTTTCACTTCATTTCTATGCTTGATGAAACCCTAGTTTTTATTTCAGCAGAACTTCATTTTTATTTATTTATCTATTATTATTGTTATTATTGAGAATGGTTAGGTTTGCTTGGAAATGTGGTTAAGAAATCCATGTTTTCAATTTTCATGTCATCAAAGCTTTGGAGAAGCGTGTTTTCATATGAAAATGAGGGATCGCGAGTTCTAGGGTTTATCCAATAATGAGTGAAACGAGAAAGCAAAAGATTTGTGAGAAGTGTAGTATTTCTACCCTCTCTAATTTAATTGAGCTGCTATTAATTAATATTTTCTTAAAAGTTCAGGATTTTTTCTTTTAATTTTGAGAAAGGATTTTTAAAGCAAATGTAAGATAGGATATTTCGTTTGACTTGAAAGCTTGTATCAAGATATAAAATTTAATAGGATATACAAATTTTTATTCAATTTATAAGTTTGATTTAAATTTTCTGGCCTAATTTTTTTTTTATGTTCAACTCAAATTTACAGTATTTTGATCATATGTAATTTCGCAATATGAAGATCGTTAATTTAGAACATTATTTTAACATTCACTAGTAACTTTGAATGTGGTCATATCTATTGGCATATATGGGCTGTTGATCATTTGTTATAAAAGTATTAAATGCTAATTTATTTAAGGAATATAAGAATATCCTTTTGAGAATTCTAGTGATCTAAAATTTTTTATGCTTCTTGCAAAAAAACATTTTTTTTTTTTGAGAAAATTGAGCTCTAATGGCAACTCTCTACCAACTTTGCCCTCCTGATTGGGGAGGAGACTCTCTACCAACTCCTTCACAAATCTTACACACTTATTACAACGTTGAAAGACAAAACCTTGAGTGAAAGTTAAAGTAACGACATTTGTCTACTTAGTGGAACTAAAAGTTTTGATGAATAAAGGCAAAAGTAAAATTGATGCATGTTACATATTTTTTTTTCTTCCACTTAGCGGGCCCAAATATAATTTTGTTTTTTAGTCACCTCCTTTTCTTGTTTGTATTAGTGCAAGATCGAATAAAGTGGTTTAGGTGTCCCCCCATGTAATTTTTATGTAGTTTTTGACTTTTGTTTTATTTTTTTTGGGTTTTGATGTAAGCATTTGAAAGTGGCTGGGTCCTAATATTGAAACTAATGAATTGTGTGGTTGCGCTTTATCCTTTTGACTTTGTAAATTATAAATTTGATTTATACGAGGGATGCGACTTAAAAAAAAAAAAATCATTTTGTACGTGTTTTCTCCATGATTTTACGAGTATATGGATTTATAACTTTATGAATATATAAACTTCATAATACAACAACAACAACAAAACCGTCATCCCACTAAGTGGAATCAGCTACATGAATCCTTTTTCTCCATTGCGTCTTATTTATTGTCATATTTTCATATAATTCTATTAATTTAAGATCATTTTTATACAATATGCTCAAGTCTTCCTAGGTTTACCTCTGCCTTTCTTAACAGAAGTCGAATCTAAAACATCTACTCTTCTAATCAGATCATCAGATGGTCAATGTTTAATGTGACCAAACCATCTAAGTCTACTATCTCTAATTTTGAAGCTACTTATTTCTATGCAAAATCATCAGATGGTTGACGTTTAATGTGACCAAACCATCTAAGAATACTATCTCTAATTTTGAAGCTACTTATTTCTTTGCAAGGTTTGATTTTAATCCATTAATGTTGAATAAACAAAAGATATAAAATTAGCAATGTTATATCAAACTAAGCCTAATTTCAATTGTTTTTTTTTAAATTAAAAGCAGAGGAAAATAAGTTTCTTTTTGGATCTCATATGTGTGCTCCAGGTTATAAGGGTTCCAAAGTTGCCTTCACGCTTATTCATTTTGTATATAAAATTAAATAAAATCTCATAATCAATTCAAAATACATTAACATTTTATTTTACTAACTGTAAAATAATATAATAGCATTAATTAATATGAAAATATGTAAATATTAAACTCACTATCTTGAAATTCATAATTAAGTCACTCTGTGCAAAAGATTACATCAAAACTCACAATCGTGTTAGCTATACATTTCGTTTTCTATTATGTAAATAAGAATAATTAACTCTGACCTTGTGATATGGATGCTTTTGTCTTAAAATCCTTGCAATACCAGAGAGTTCATAAAATCTAAGTCTAACATCAATGTGGAGAGTTTTATACAAATATCTCTTATAAATTATTGTACTAGTAATCAATACATGTCCCCTAAATTCCATAATGATCTTACACGGAGTGGTGGTCCAATGTTTGAGTCCTTCAATCCTCCGCTGAGGATCTCTGTTCGAAGCATGCACCGATCATTTCTCAAAGGCCCATTTACATACATAACACAATTATTTATATACGTATCTCACACCCAAACTTTCATATTTACACACATAACACTCAAATCTTTAATATCACATAAAAAATAGCACTATTATCGCTTTCTAATAATCAAATACATATTTTAATGCATAGGTTTTGTTAGGTATGGCTCATATACCATATAAGGGACAAATGCTAGAGCGGAACGAAGCGGTCAGCGGAGCGGAGCGGAAGAATCTGTCTAATTGGGGAGTTTCGTTACGTGGGTTGGGGGTGCGGGGGTAACGTCCCGCGGTACGGTACAAAGGTAATTCTGTAATTACATATTGTACTTCAGGGTTATATATGTGTCTGTTTGTAACCCTAGGGCTTATTATGTATCCTGCACTCTTTTCTGAATTGAAAGAAAGCCGCTGCTCTACTCCCGATGACGTAGGCATCTTTGTCAAACCTTGTTAAATCTTTGTGTTCTTCTCGATTTGCGTTTCTTGCCCTAAATTTCTCAACAAATTGTATCAGAGCGAGGTTCCAACGCAGAAAAAATTTCGGCGCAAGGAGTTCGGCTAGGGTTGCGGATAGGTTTTCGAACAAATCGGTGCAGGAAGAACGAAGAAGGATTCGAAGATTTGGCAGAAGATTTTGCGAGCTGTTCTCGCAACTAGGTGACACGTCGGCTTCGTGATCTACTCTCGCGACGCAGAAAATGAGGAGCAGCAGGTATTTGCGAAGAAAGCTTTGACGAATCAGCGCGACGAAGAGGAGGGTTTTGGACGAAGGCGCGGTTTCGGTTCGACCATTTGATTTGACGCAGACAGTGGAATTGTGACAGGCTTGCGAGAATCAGTTCAATGAATCCAACAGTTCCGACTTAAGGATTTGTTCGAAGGAATTTGGGTGAGCAAATCGACAATTGAAGCAGATGAATTTGTAGAAAAGTTCGCTACAAGATTAATTTCAAATGATAATTTCTTGTGCAAAATTCGAGGTAGTGAAATTTGATGAAACCAAAAACTTCAGATAATGACAAAAAAAGGGCGAAAGGTTTGTTGGCACAATAGAGAATCTTGAAGACTTTGCGGGCAATGAAATCAGATGCCATGGAGGATGAAGATTGAGAAGAATTGCAATAACAAACGATAATAACCATACATTTATGTTTGACAGATAAGGTTATGTATCACGTAATGAATCTAAAATCTTCATGAGAAGTATGAAAGAAATTGTAAACTTAGTTTATGTCCAAATCTCTAGTGAATAAATTTTACCTGAAGTAAAAGTTGTATGGGTTGAAGATGCAAGAAAGCTCTGATCTAGCACAACATGTGAATGACTTCAATCAAATAATCACAAATTTATCCTGACTCGATGTGAGTATTGTGGAAAAAGACAATAATGATTATGTTGTGTTCATTACCTTTTTCTTATGAACACCCGGTGACTACTCTTACTTATGAGAAAAAAATATCAAAGTTGATGAGATTACTGTAGCATTGTTGGCTCACAACCAACGAAAGCAAAATGTAGGGGAAAACTCTAATGGTGATAGTTTATATGTCAAGGGTAATCAAAATCGTGAAAGGAAGAGAGAGGAATGTTCTGGAAGACGAAATTTCAGATCAAAGTCTAAAGACAAAAATATGATTCATTGCTACAAGTGCAAGGAGTTGAGTCACATGAAGAGAGATTGTCCAAAACTCAAGAAGCAGACTAAGGAGAAAATGATGCATCATCAAAGTTTGTAAATGTGGTACAGAGTGACAACTCAAATTTCAGTGATGATGACATGTTTTCAGTTTCATCAACTCAGTTTATGGATGCACGTCTTCTTGATTTAGAACGCTCTTATCACATAACACCTAACAGGGAATGATTTACTTCATACATGTTAACTAATTCTGGCTCAGTCTATTTAGGTTATGATAGATGCTGCAATATTGTTAGTGCTGATGAATCAGAATTACGATGTATAATCACACTGTTAGAATATTATGTGATATCAGATATATTCCAGATTTAAAGAAAAAATTGATTTTCTTGGGCACTCTACATATAAATGATTTTATTCCTGAGGCAGATAAAGACAGGGAAACCGTTATAATTATTAAGTGTGCATTGACTGTGATGAAAGAAAAACTAACTGCAGGGAATATCTGCAAACTGCTAGGTAGTACAGTTGTAGGTGAAGTTAATTATATTGAGTCAGATAATAATAATAATACAAAACTGTGACATATGCGTCTGGGTTATTTAGTAAATGTGAGATGATTGAATTGCATAGAAGAAACCTGCTGCATTGTGTTAAAAACTGCAAACTTGATTTTGTAAGTTTTGTATTCTTGGAAAACAGATTAGAGTCAGTTTAATGACTAAAAAACACAAAAATAAAGACATTCTTGATTATATGTATTCTGATGTATGGGGTCCTACCAGAGAATCGTCATTGAGAGAATCTCTGTATTATGTTATATTTATTAATGATTTCTCCAAAAAATTTTAGGTGTATTTCTTGAAGCAGAAATCTGAAGTTTTCTCCAAATTTAACATGTGTAAAGCTGAGGTGGATAACCAAACTGGTAGAAAAATCAAGTAATTGAGGTCTGATAATGACACAGAATACACATATTCGTAGTTTCAGAAATTTTGTGAAGAACATGAGATTCAGAGGCATTTTTTCAATGCACAAGTACCACAGCAGAATGATGTTGCAGAAAGGTTGACATGTCCTTAACTGAAAGAGCAAGAAGATGCTTGAGACTGAATGCAAAGCTTCCTAAAAGTTTTTGGGCAGAGACTGTGAATATGACATGTTATCTCATCAATAGATCACCTCAAACATCATTCGGTGGCAAGGTTGCAAGCTTGATTTTGTAAGTTTTGTGTTCTTGGAAAATAGATTAGAGTCAGTTTAATTACTAAAAAGTACAAAAATGAAGAGATTCTTGGTTATATGTATTCTAATGTATGGGGCCTACTAGAGAATCGTCATTGTGAGGATCTCTGTATTATGTTATATTTATTAATGATTTTTCCAGGAAGTTTGGGTGTATTTTTTGAAGCAGAAATCTGAAGTTTTTTCCAAATTCAACCTGTGGAAAGCTGAGGTGGATAACCAAACTGGTAGAAAGATCAACTAATTGAGGTTTGATAATGACATGGAATACACAGATTCGCAGTTTCAGAAATTTTGTGAGGAGCATGAGATTCAGAGACATTTTTCAGTGCACAAAACACCATAGCAGAATGGTGTTGCAGAAATGTTGAACAGGTCTTTAACTGAAAGAGCATGATACTTGAGACTGAATGCAGGACTTCCTAAAAATTTTTGGGCAAAGACTGTGAATATGACATGCTATCTCATCAATAGATCACCTCAGATATCAGTCGGTGACAATGTTGCAGAAGAGGTATGGACAAGTAATACACTTAATTTCAATCATTTACGAATTTTTGGTTGTCTTGCTTATGTGCATGTACCTGAAGATTAAAGATCATAACTTGATGCAAAATCCAAGAAGTGCATCTTTCTACGCTAAAAGAAAGGTGTGAAAGGATACAAGTTTTGGGATCCGATTACAAAGAAGATGATGATCAGTAGAGATGCAGTTTTTTATGAACAATCCATGTTCTAACAGAATCAAGATAAGGTGTAAAGGAATAATTCTAGTTTAGATACAGTGCAGATGAATTTAGAACAACATCTAGTAGCAATTAAGACAGTTGAAAGTTCAGAACCAACACTTGGTGACTCAAATACAGATTAATTGCAGAATTACAATCTAGCCAGAGATAGACAACGACGCACCAATATAAGACCTCATAGCAGATTGAGTTATGAAGACTTGGTCTCTTGTGCACTTTTCATCAGCATCGATGATCTATCCACTTTTCAAGGAGCTATCAGAAGCTAGGAGAAAGAGAAATTAATGGGTGCAATGGTTGAAGAGATGAAGTATTTGCAGCAAAATCACACATGGGAGCTAGTTTAGCTCTCTGAGGGAAAGAAGACTATTGGGTGCAAGTGAGTGTACAAAGGGAAACCAACAGTATCAGAAAAAGAAGGTGAAAACTTCAAGGCTTGACTGGTAGCAAAGAGATATTCACAACAGAAGGGGATAAATTATGATGAAATCTTCTCTCATGTGATTAGACATACTTCAATCAGAATAGTGCTTTCGTTAGTAGTTATTTGTGATTTGCATTTAGGGCAGATGAATGTTAAAACTGCTTTCTTGTATGGTGATTTGGAGGAGCAAATTTACATGGAGCAGCCAGAAGTGTTCGCTCAACCTGGACAGGAGCATCTAGTTTACAGATTAAAGAAATCATTGTATGAGTTGAAATAGTTTCCAAGACAATGGTACAAGTGGTTCATCTCCTACATGATTCAGATTGGCTACAAACAATGTGAGTATTATTATTGTGTTTATGTGAAGAGATTTGATGATCGTTCTATTATTTTTTTATTGTTGTATGTTGACGATATACTGATTGCTGCAAATGATATGAATGATGTCCGTGATTTGAAAGCTTTATTGAGCCAAGAATTTGACATGAAAGACTTGGGTTCTATAAAGAAGATTTTTGAAATGGAGATTCATCATAGAGGCACAAGACAACTGTGTTTATCTCAACAAGACTATTTTGAGAAAGTGTTGGACATGTTTGAGATGAACAAAACAAACCCTGTGGACACTCCATTGACAAATTATTTCAAACTTTCTTCAGAACAATGTCATATGACAAATAAAAAAATCAAATACATGACAAATGTTCCATATGTCAGCGTTGTTGGTTGTTTGATGTATGCAATGGTATGTACTCGCTCTGATTTAGCTCATGTTGTTAGTCAATTCTACAAATACATGTCTAAACCAGAAAGACGATATTGAGAAGCGGTCAAATGAATTTTCAGGTATCTGAAGGGTACTGTAGGATATTGAATTATTTTTGGCAGTCACCAGAATGATTCTTCAGTTGTGGGGTATGTGGATTCAGACTATGCAGGTGATTTAAAGGACAGAAGGTCTACAACTGGGTATGTGTTTACTCTTGGTGGAAGATCTATATGTTGGAAATCAACAATTCAGTCTATTGTGACATTATCTACAACTGAAGTTGAGTACATGATAGTAACTGAAACTTGAAATAAAAAGAACCGGGTGTTGAGCAAGGTGAAGTTCAGTTGCATTGTGACAGTCAGAGTGTTATTTATTTGTCCAAGAACCAGATGTACCATGTAAGAACAAAGCACATTGATGTCATGTATCACAAGATAAGAGAATTAATTGCTTCTGGTGATATTTTGTTATAAAAGGTTCATACTAATGAAAATGCAGCTGATATGTTGACCAAACCAATTACTATCAACAAGTTCTTGCATTGCTTGGACTTGTTGAATGTTTGCAGTTGTTAGACAACATGACAACCCAACCCACTTCAGTGTGTAAGAAACTCCATGATGTATTTCTTCTAAGGGATTGGATATTCACTAAGGTGGAGATTTGTTAGGTATGACTCGTATACCATACAAGGGACAGATGCTGGAATGGAACGGAGCGAGGAGCGGAACAGAGCGGAAGAATCTGTCAACTCGGAGGAGTTTCATTACATGGGTTAGGGGTGTGAGGGCAACGCCCCGCGGTACGGTTCAGAGGTAATTTTGTAATTACATATTGTACTTTAGGATTATATATATGTCTGTTTGTAGCCCAGGATTTATTTTGTATCTTGTACTCTTTTCTGAATTAAAAGAAAGTCGCCGCTCTGCTCTCAATGATGTAGATATTTTTGTCGAATCTCGTTAAATCTTTGTGTTCTTCTTCTGTATTTGCATTTCTTTGCCCTAAATTTCTCAACAGGCTTAAAACACCAGTGATATGTGATATGTTTATAACTATGAAAGTTCAGGAGTGCGAGATATATAAATACATAAGATTTATGTTCTAGGCTTGCAAATTTCCCTTTTTTCAAAAATGTTCTCTTGCTACTGATACTGTCATCAACGAATAACAGAAACTTTACCCTGACTACATTTACAGAGGAAAATATGGCCGTAGCTGTAAAGAAGGGCGGCGGCGGCGGCCGTGGTGGTGGATTCCGTGGAGGTAGCAATGGTGATTCTTCTTCTCCGTATGGTAAAGCCATACCTATGATAGCAGGGGGAGCTGTCGTTCCGAAGACTGCTGGATTTTCTTCTCATAAGTACAAACACAATTCAGCCCACAGTGGCTACAGTTTCTCCATTGCTGCCTTGCTCATCATCTCTGCTTTCTGGGTTGAGTCTCTGGCTTGTCTGTATCGTCTTTCTTATTAGAAAGAACCGGTCTTTACATGCATACCACATAAGTCTAATGTTTTTACTTATCTAACACATGAACTTTCATATTTACATTTAGAACACTCGAAGTTTTCACATCGCGTCAAAAATATCACCCTTTTTAACTTTTTAAAAATGAAATAAATATCAAATTTTAGGCGTTAGATATGTAGGTACATAAGAATTGTGTGGGTATGTATGTAAAATTGCGAAAGAAGGGGCATTTAATATGGAAAGTATCAGTTGTACTTGCAGATGAAGAGGAGGCAATGAATAAGGGCTTGTTGGATCGTGTTTAGCTCGATAGTAGCTTGATTATGTTTTGTATGTACATATGTATGTATGAGTATGCATCTGTTTATGTATATGTGTATGAATTTTGTTTATTGTTATTCATGTAGTTATATTTGTATTAATATATGCATGTATATGTAGTGACATGTACATTCTATATGTTTTGTCTTTCAATTCATGAATAAATCGTGCCTAGCTATTTATTGAATGTAAAAAAGAAAAGTTTAAGCATTAGATTTGTAAATATATAAGAGCTGGGTGGTGTTTATGTAAATACTTCAAAGTTTTTTTTTTTAAGAAAATAATATGATTAAAATTATTAGAAAAATTTCTATTTTTTTTAAAGTTATTAAGAAATAAATAGATTTTAACCTTGCAAATTAAATTGCTATTTTATATATTATATTCTCTAATTAAAAAAAAATGGAAGATTTACATGCATACACTCAATTCTTATTTATTCACATGTCTAACGCCTCAACTTTAGTTTTTATGGGAAAATGTATTTTATTTTTTAAATGTTAGCCTGATGGTTGGTATTTTTCATGTGATATAAAATGATTTGAATGGTATAAATATAAAAAAAATGTAAATTTAGATGTTAGATATATGAACATATAAGAATTGGGTGGAATATATATCAATTAGGGGTGTAAACGAGAAGAACACGAGCTAGTCATGCTTAGAATGTGATGAACAGTTTTCACAAAATTTAATAAAATATGATATTTGTAGGGGGGGATGTTTGTCCGTTTTAATTATTCGAAGAACTAATTAATTTGCAAATCTTCTGTGCATTATGGTAAAAACAGGCCTGCGGGGGTAGGAATGTAAAACCAAGAAATTAGGCAATGGTGATATCTAGGGCTGTCAGAATGGCTCATTGTTCGCGAACAACTCGTGTTCGACTCGTTCGCTAAGTTAACGAGACGAATACAAACAACACAAATAAATATTTGTTCGTTCGTGTTCGGCTCATTTTAGCTCGAATATATATATATATATATTTGATGAGCAGTATTTCGAGCCAAAACGAGCCGAACACAAACGAACACATCTTAGTTCGTGTTCAGCTCGTTAACTTATCGAACGAAATTAACAAGCCGAACACGAGCTTCTTAACAAGCCGAACACGAGATGTTCGCGAACAATGAGTCGTTTTGACAGCCCTAATATCAATGCCCCAAAAAAATTTCTTTGTTTATCTAATTTAACATATAAAAAGTTATTTTAATTAAAATAAATTTAATAACTCAAATATTAAATCGTATAACAAAATACTATACTTACACCGACCGTATTTTTCTACAATCCGAACACCAACCCCTTTATCTCATTCCGTATGGCCCTCAACAGCGCCCCCCAACGGCGCCGCTCCACCTTGAACTTCAACCCCCCCCCCCCCCCCCCCCCCCCCCCGCCGCTGCAGCAATCTTTGCCCTCCGCCCTAAAGACCCAACCTTTCAACTCGTCTCCATCTCCCTCTCCTCCTTTCACCTCAAACTCCCCCTCCTGGACCTCGAGCTCACCCTCGCCGTCCATGTCACCAATCCCAACATCGTCCCCATCCGCTACTCTCCGGCCACCGTTTCGATCTTCTACTCCGACTCTCTGCTAGGCTCCGCCCTCCTAGCCGCCGGCTCACAGCCTCCATTTTCCTGCCGCCTCCTCTACCTCCCCGCCCGCCTCGACGGCCTGCAGCTCGCACACAACGCTGCTAGTATCCTCGCCGACGCCACCCACCGTCGCATGTCTCTCGACGCCGCAGTTGACATCACCGGCGACGCTCGCCTCCTCTTCTGGAACCATCGGTTTACGCTTCGCCTTGAAAGTCATGTGCTTGTTGATCCCATCTTTCTCAACGTTATTGATCAGGACAACCACTCTGAGACCCATTTATCTCTTTCATTGCTGCAACAGTAAGTCATCTGCAGGCAAGTAGATCTCTTTGGTGTATTGAGGTGCTGATATGACTTAGAAATTGGCTGCAAAACAAAATAAAATGGAAAAATTCCATTTTTTCATCTCTTAATCTCTCTGTTAGTGCCACCATGTTATTATTATTATTAGGGTATAAGTATAACAATATTACATTGTATGAGGTGTTGTTAGGGAGGCATTAGGCTATGGAAGATTTGCAGCAAGCAGATGATGTTTGCCTGTTGGATGATGCTATGGTTGTTCAATGAAGCATTCTATGGTAGCTTTGCATTGTGTAACTTGGTGTTTTTCATTGTAAGGTTTTAGTAGAGAAATATGAAAAATAGAGTGGATCTGAAAATGAGAAGGTAACTTTAGTTTGTAAGTGAAGGTCCTAATTTATTTATGTACTGCAAATGGTCCTAATAATGTTGAGTAGACATGGAGTATTGCTGATTTTGTATCAATGAGGCTAAATTTTAATAAGAATGAGGTTTCTTAATTTGAATTTGAGATCATATTGGTGTTTGCTAGCTTATTGTCTCATTCGATGTTTTGTTCAGTAATGGTGTTCTTGTGAGTTTTGGAGAGTGGGCCTTTACGATTTAGCCAAATGTTGAATGTGAAAACTACACATTCCAACCAATCTTTTTATTCTGGCTTTGCTGATGTCTCCTATTTTGACTGTTGTAGTAGGGTTTCTATAGGTTTGATGATAATATCAAATGACTGGGGTTGGAGAAGAATTACTGTGTTAATCCTTAAGTATGTAGGGGAGGGCATATGCTATTGTTATTATTTTTTGTAGAACTTGATTTTTATTTTATGGTGAATTCACACCTAGCAATTTGATCAGGAATTATTGGTGCTTTTTGCATCTATTTTACTCTAATCATTGCAAATTATGAACTTTAATCCCAACATATATTAATGTCATTTGGCGAAATGGGGTCAACCTCAATGATGGCTAACATCTCACGAATGTATATCAAGTCTTGTTATAGTGTTTAATTTCTTTTAGTAGAATGCTTTGGAGCTTTTGCTTTGACACTGGACTACACCTATGCCAACCCTAGACATATTGGTGCCTAGGGTGAAAGCCTTAGCCTAATTTGGTAATAGCAACATGGGTTAGCCAACTTTTACTTGTGAAAGATGAAATCCATTTGCTTGAACACAACTAAACATAGTTTACAGGAGTTGGGTGTGGTTATGTACTGTGGCACTATAGACAAATAATATTACGAAAAAAAATTGATAACAAATTTCTCAAGTGTGATTTAATTACAGTAGTTGAATGTCTTAAGACCAAAAGGCATGATAATGGACTCATACTTGATATCCTCAATGATCATTCTGAGTATACACTAGGTTATCATGATCAATTTGTATGAAAAACGAGGCTAACATGCTAAAGTTATGAAACAAAAGTTCAAAGTTTCACAAGGAAAGAATGTTCAGCTGCACAATGAGAGCTATTGTAAAGCTGGGAAGGCAATAATGGGTATTGGGATTAAATGATCAAAATTACCTTAAAACTTTGGTTTATGAAAAACACTGACGGTCTGACCAGGCTTTGCTTCAGAACCTGCTAACCTGAACTAAGCAATACAATATTATTCTATAACTATGCTCTATTGTACCAGAAAAAGGGAATTTTTACATTGCTAACACCTGGTATTTTATATTTATATTTTTAACTCTTTGGTGTTATAAAACCTATGAATGAGAAGGCGTGTTTCACTTTTAAAAAGTAAGTAATAATTACATTTTTTGATATGAGGAAAGTACAAGTGTTAGATATAGGGGTGTAAACAGGCTCAGCTCGTGTTCGGCTCGTTTATATTTCGAGCTCAAAAAGTGTGTTCGTGTTCGGATTGTTTTCTTAACGAGCCGAACACGAGCTGTTCATGAACAAAGTGTCATTTTAACAACTACCCTAATACCGTAGCCATAAGATGTTAATGATTGAGGCAAGATTTAAAAAAACATTTGAATCTAATTTAATAATTTTTATTCTATTTTTTTAATTAGAACTTTTAATTGATTATAAATCTTTGTAGCCTTGTAATCAATTGATTTTTTTTAAAAATACTACTCATGAAAGATATGTACATATAATTGATTAGTAGTATTTCGAGTCAAAACGAGCCGAGCACGAACAAGTAAATATTTAACTTAGCGAGCGAGCTGAACACGAGCTGTTCGCGAACAACGAGCCGTTTTGACAGCCCTAGCTAGATATACATATGTAATAATTGTCTGGTATATAAATGAAAAACATATTTTGACATGCGTTGAAGCCTATTCATGTTCTTAGAAGTTTCAATCAGAAACATTTTATTTTTTTTTGTAGATTCATAGATTTTAAATGCGGTGCGTCATATACATCAAAAGTGCTATTGATTGGGCCACATTGATGATCAAATAGACCGGCGTGTGCCATCACCAATTCCTGTTTTCCTTTTTTTTTTTCCTTTTTTTTTTTCCGACCACACGTGGGCCCCATACAACAATCAAAATCACATGCGCAACACGTGATATGATAGCTTCCCTTGAGCTGTCTCCAATCTTCACACGTCAACAAAATTTAATTTTAAATTAATAAACCGTCGCACCGCTCGCGAAAAGTCTTGCCGGTTTTTTTTTTTTTTTTTTTTCAAATAGAAATCGGTATATTGTATAGATTCAAATATCGATCTCTCATGTGCTAGATCTCATGAGGAGAATCCATACCATGTGTCTTAATCTTTGAGAACTCAGCGTCACTAGAGATCGAACCGGTGACTTGAGGGGACTTACAATAAACCCCGCCAACCACAGGCCATGACTTGCGGCACAACCGAGGACTATATATATATAATTGCACACAATAATTTTTCCAATTAGAGACCGCCAATAACTAATTGCTTCACGAAGAACATCTGAAGATAGATCCATCATGAAGCTTCATCTAGAGAAATTAGAACAAAAAAATAAAAAAAAGAGGCAACACCGCATAGAAGATGTAATGAACAGATAACTAAATAGATGCATGATATGATATAAGGTTAGATCATCAAATTTCAATACTAAGCAGCCCGATAATGGTGTTTGATTTTATCATAATTCACAAAAAAAAGAAAGCCAATAAAGAGCATATATGTTGTAAGAAATGAACTTGTATCTAAAGAGAAACACAAAGCAAATGTCAAGAGCAGCTGAATATCAACTAAGGTATAATCTAGTACTTTGACCATGGGTTTCACCCTTTCAGATTTATTTTCTTATGTGGTTAGGCATAGATCTACTTATGCCCACGAGGACGAAGATTCCATTATCACAGATGGGGACAAAGAAAAGATGGCCAGAAAAAGGCAGGGTTACAACTTACACCTCATAAGAAGCCTTAATCCCTCCTTGAATAAAAGAGGATTGGTGCACACCAATTAATAAAAACACAAATGACCGATTTATAATCTAATATAATTAAAGACCGTAATACAACAATTACCATTTCATCTCTTACTCCCAAATAAGTGAGAGATGACCAAAGAAGCTCCAACACTAAAAACAACCACATGCCCCCAACGAAGGGATCACACCTCTTATAGTTCTTTGAAACCCCAGACAGGGCAATTAATCATGAGTTCAGATGTTCACCAAATTAACTCTTTAGTAGGTGAAATTCTGGATTGTTAGTATATTTGTGAACATGTTTGTGAGATTCTCCTTCATATCTATCTTTGTTAACAAAATCTTTACGTCATCAATCAAGTCCAGAAAAAAGTGGTATCTCACATCAATTTGCTTAGTACAACTATAATGAACTGATTTATGACCAAGAATATCACACTTTGATTATCATGGAACATTTTTAGAGACTCCTGGCACTGCATCCATATCACTTTCTTCATCAACTCCGGGACTATAATTTTCTAAGCCCTTCTAGTAAACAAAATAATAGTAGACTAAAGAATTGATCTCCAACTAACTTGAGCTCCTGTCAATTTGAATAAATACTCAGTCTAGACCTTCACCTAGCTATATCACTTGCATAGTTTGAGTCAGTGTAACTTACACACAAATCGGTAATAAATGACTACCTCTTAAATACTAAGTCAAAACTATTGTATCATTCAAATAACTCAGAATACTCATCATAGGTTGTCTATAACTCGGTTTTGGATCATGCATAAACCTACTCATAATACCAACTGTCTGTGCAATGCTAGGTTTAGTATAAACCATGACATACATCATCAGACTGCTCACTTCAATATTGCTATGTATTGGAAATGTACTTATTTTTGCTATATTTTAATCTATTTTTATGTTAAATTTATGCTTTTTGAATGTGTTTGTTATATTTTATCACAACTTCAATATTGACTTAAACTTTTTAATCTACCTTTTGATACAACAGTGTTTAACAATGTTGTCAGACTTAAACTTTTCTCTTTCTCACTTACATATAAAACTATAATGTGACTCAATTCATTAGCACCAAGGTATATCATATGAAATAAACTAGCCCTTAAATTTGTAACAAAATACTTCCCTCATCTAAAATGACTAAACTTAGGAATGATATCAGTTCATTTATCCAATTAGATGGAGAGTCAATTTATGAAGCCTATGAGAGATTCAAGAAGCTACTTAAGAAATATCCCCAAAATGTCTTATCAGACAGACTCATAATTCACATCTTTTAAAATGGGCTAGTGGGATCTTTGAAAATCATAATTGATGCTACAGCTAGGAGATCACTCATATCTAAACCATTTGAGGAAGCATATACACTCTTTAGTACTAAAAATTTGTTTAAAATAAAGTTTAAATGATCTTCCAGCAAACTCTAAACCTTTATAATTTGAATATTTGGATGCTTTAAAAGCTAAAAATTAAACCAAATTTTATATTTGATCAGATGAATCTTATGATTGAATATCAATAACTTAATATATTTATACTTAGGGGTGTAAACGAGCCAAACACGAGTTACCTATAGGAGTGTACACGAACGAATACGAGCGAGCCCAGACTCAGCTCTTGTTCGGCTCGTTTATATTTCGAGCTTAAATAGTGTGTTCGCGTTCAACTCGTTTGCTTAGCGAGCCGAACACGAGCCGTTCACGAACAAAGAGTCATTTTGACAACCCTAATCACATTGCCATAAGATGTTAAACATTGGGGCAAAATTTAAAACATCATTTGAATCTAATATAATAATTTTTATTTTATTTTCTTAATTAATACTTTGATTATAAATCTTTATAGTCCTATAGTAAATTAAATTTTTTAAAAATAACACTCATCTTATATATATATATATATATATATATATAATTGATTAATAATTGTCGAGCCAAAACGAGCCGAACACGAACAAACAAATATTTGAATCTAAATATTTGTTCGTGTTGTTCGTGTTCGGCTTGTTAACTTAGTGAACGAGCCAAACACGAGCTATTCGCGAACAACAAACCGTTTTGACAGCCCTATTTATACTCATAAATTTCCATGCCTGAGCACTATGTGCTGAAATAATCAAGATATTCATGTCATCTTATATTAAGTTATTAACTATTAAACACATCACAATCACTCCTGATAGTGAAAGAGGAACGATGACAACAATACCATTTAAAAATAATAATAATAATTTAAATAGGATCATATGATAAATGTTGTAATTTCAATAATGAAAAATTTGTAAGCTTGTTTGGACGGCTTTTTCTGTCCACGTCAAAAGCAATCAAAGCATTTCAATTATTTCACACGGACAATGTATGCATGCGGTGTCTAATCTCTACCGTCAATCAAAATAAAATTGTATTTCAGTAGACCCTATTTATTTTATTTTTTTTAACTCTGATTGAAGGTGGAGATCAGATGGAATAATTTTTCGATTATTAGAGACCCATTTCAAAATAATCCGGAACCTTTTTGACATTTTATTTCTTTTTAAATTTATTGATATGATAACTTGACCATTTAGCATTATTAATATATCATCATATTTTATTTGATTAAAAGTTATATTTTTTTTTTTCAAAAAAGAAAAAAAATTTATTAAATTTAGTGATGTAAGAAAATTCGGCCATTATTGTAAGCCAAATTATTTATTGTAAAACACGATGAAAATTGAAATTTATATATCTACCCTTGGTAATTCAGTCCAACAGATTTGCTTGTCTATCTAGGGCTGTCAATTTGGCTCGTTGTTCGCGAACAGCTCGTGTTCGGCTCGTTAAGCAGCTCGTGTTCGGCTCGTTCGTTAAGCCTAACGAGCCGAACACGAACAAATT